AGAATCAGAGGTGCTAGTTTCAAATCCTTTTTAGTCTGAAATCTGTATGCTAGATATTGAATAAGGTGGTTTTATTGTTTTTTGTCACTTTGAATAATATTTCTGTTCATGTTAAAAACAAAATCAACTCTCTGTATAAATATATCAGGTGACCGTTAAGGCCCATGGGCCTCTTGTTTAACTATATCGTGTTATTGTTAATAAAAAGATTTCAGGTTGATATGTAAGAATTAAATACGAAGCTGAGATTAGGATTTTGAACAATTATTTATGCCATGACTATTCTTATGATGCTCTTTTGCATTCTGTATGAAAATTATACGGTTTTTTTCGCTGTATAGCCGTGTAGGATACAGTTGACGAGACAACAGATTAAAATGTCTGATCCGTAAATTTGTCATTGATTGTATTTTAACGACCAAAACTAAAACACGACAGATCGCAGCTACCCATCTTCGCTAGCCAATTGTTCGTACTATAATTTGAAGGCTCGCGGTTAAACACGCCAAGGGTAGATGGAGTGTATACGAAGGCTCCAAGCGATCACTTGGCTAGCGAAGATGGTAGCTACCAGGAGACGTTTACCTTCCTAAGTAGTTGTACACGCTAGTAACGTTATCATTCACTCACTAGCCCTGAACTATCCAATCAAAACTTGAGGAATCATATTAAAACTAAGAAAAACACATAGCCGCACTTTTTTTGTACCTAATACATGTACATGCACATTCATGGATCAAGTGTGTTCAAATTATTTATTTGCCATGTCAATGTATCCAAAGTTCATCAAATAAAACTAATGTACTTTTCATGGATTTCTCTATGTTCAAAATCAAATCGCTCACAGCAAGTCACCAAAGTATTACAAATTCTACCTTAAATAATTTGCAATTGACTGGGATTCTAATTATGTTGAGTTAAAAGATCCAATGTGGAAACGCAGAGACGTGCAAAGCTGTATACCCTGAAAGTGATGTCAATGACATTTAAAAAAAGAAACCATAAGTTTACCACTGCAGGGTAATATTACAGCACGGATTGATATAAGATGCTCTCTAAGTCCTTGATTACAGCCTGCCGGGATGGGATTTTAAAGGACATTAATTATCAATGCATTGCAACAAGATACCAGTGTCAAAAATGCTTACAAATTTACTGTTCCTTCGCCAAAGTCGACTTTTATGAAGGTCACTGGGAAAACATCCTCACAAAAGCTATAGTACAAGTGTACTTAAAACATGCCCGCGGACATCTGAACACGAAATCAACCTTAGCCATGTATGTACATCTGCTCACCCCAAAACACAAACAAGTACCAATTCTTTCCAACCACTATTACACAAATTAACCTTCCAACCCTAGCTATCGCTCAATGCACAACACCTCGAAAATTAAAACAAGCGCAACATACAAAATAACAGGAGCCATAAACAATCAAACACAACTACTAATTCATCCCATTTTAATATGTTTTCACCCTATAGCAAAATAAAATAAAAATCACTGTATTTATTAAATTACATCACAGGTGTTTGGAAATTCTGACTTTAAATTGAGATAAAAATCATAAAAAAATAATGGTATTACCACGGACTAATCTAATTCCGTGGTATTACTATAAAAATGTACGGAATTAGATTAAGTCCTAGGTCCGTGGTAATACCACGGACTTAGATAACATCTATTCTAATTCCGTGGTAATACCCTTTATGAGATTTTTATCTCAATTTACAGTCAGAATTTCAAACACCTGTGTTTAAATAAACCTGCACCCCACTTCAAATGTCCACACTCACCAGAATTGACCGATTATCATTATGAAAATGAAGGAGTCTTAATAAATATACATGTTCAGCGATAAAATTGAATAATGTGTAGTGGGTATTTCAACACTATGTAGCAATACATTGTAATATTGTGTTGAAAGTTCCACGAGTTGTTCCCCCTTGCACACGCAATGACTATCTGCTCTAGATCTATTTATAGCAGCTGTGACGCATATGGATTATAATTAGGAAAACAAGCATGGCTGACATAATATGCGGAGCGGAATGGGTGAAGTGATTAGAGCCAAGGAGAAGATCAGATTGTATTATCATGGCATCACTTGATAACAAGGTAATTAATGTATTCCTGGTAAGTCATACAACAGATAAATCCTCGTATCAACAAATATACACACATCTATCTCATCAATAGCACAGGGACCTGAGGATTTGTAACAGCTATATTTAGACCTAAACTAAGGTGTTCAGAGTGATTTTACATGTTTTAGAGATTTAGATCGACTTTCGGTTAAAATGTCACCCCGATGATCATATACCCCTAAAACATGTGAAATTACTCTGAACGCCTTGGTTTAGGTTTAAATATAGTTGTTACAAATTATCAGGTCCCTGTGATCAATCCCTATGTATGGAGTGATGAATGGATGAATGTGCTGATGTAAGAGAATTTGTTTTAATTCCAAAGGTCTGTAATATGGATTAAAAAACAACACCATATCAGATAAGCACGAAACTGGACACTGTCACTGGTGATTTAATCGATTGCCTCTTCTTCCCCAAACTTATAAATAAAAGACGGACTTGAGGAAGATTACTAGTCTTGCTCAAGTCCGACATTAATTAAAAACGATCAGAAGGAGAGACATTACATTCAAACACCTAGCTATTCATGGCCGGTTGGATTTTCAAATATCAAATGTCTTTTTACACTTTTTACTGTAATACATGTAGACCTAGCACTTTAAATAATTCCGAATTGTCATTTCCTGTTGGCATTCATAGTGGGTATACCAACAGAAAACAGTATAACCATTTAAATGTTTATTTGATTCTCCAATAACAATTTAATCATTTAGTTCAGATAGCTGTATGTATCGTTTATACTTGTTTGTTGAAAATTAGGCCTACAGCTTTTCAAGGGCATATAGGTATCTTAATTTAAATGATTGGTTCTATCTAGTAATCGAAGTTAGACTTGGGGACCAGGGTAAAAACAGTGGTTTCGAACGGGATTGGGAGTTATAGTGTTATATAGTAAATAAGGATCTGAAAATTTCACCAAGGTACAACATGCCTTTCACGGGGTTGGGAGGTTGAGCGCTAATTGATATGATTCTTTGACTTAGGTGGGCTATCGATTTTTGTATGAATTACTTTTGGTGATAAAATATGTATTTTTGTCCTTTCATTGTGAATCAGATGAATTGCTACATGTTAATGTGTATTACAGACCAACACCCAGAGTAGTTTGTCTAATGGGAAACAAACCACAGTAGATGGTTCGGTAGCATCACCAGTAGGTGGCACCACATCAGCACCAGAACATGACGCCACATCATCATCAAAAGATAGCGTCACAGGTAAATCAGAAGATGGCGCCTCATCACATTCAACAGAAAAACCAACGACTCCATCAGGAAATGGCATCACATCATTACCATCAGACCTTGCCACAGATATACCGGTAGGTGGCGCCACACAAACAGATGGCGCCACTGCGTCACCAGTAGCAGGTACCACAGATGCACCAGTCGGTTGCACCAAGCCACTGAATGTAAACAGTGATACTGTGCAGAGAATTCTGGGAACGATCTTCGGACAATGTACTGGGGATGCCATAGGATTACTGACAGAGTTTATGGCAAAGGAGGAATGTAAAGAGGTACATCTCACAACTAACTTTACCTTTAATCCCAGAAAGCAATTGTCTTTTCTTTTATGATATTTAGATCTTTAATATTCGGAGTAAGAATTAACTCTATTGATATAAGCAGGCTCCCGTTATGGTGTTATTATGCGAAACATGTTTTTTTGTTTTTTTTACATCGGATTGATTATGAAATTCTTTAGATACTATATGAAAGCCTAGCTCTTGTTATCGTGTGTTCGTATGTTAATATGTGTAGGCCCGTTGTTAAGCGTGTCTGTTTTCGGAACTCATTATAAACGAAACAAAATACTGGTAGTTTTTGAGAAAATTGAGAAAATTAATATGATTGTTCATCATTCCAAATTGTATTAGAACTCTTTTAAGGACTCCATTAAATTGATGAAAGTAATAAACACTAACCAATGTTATTGATTGAACTCAGTAGGAGGCAGTTTTGTAAAAGAGTTTACTCAGCGGTTTAGAAATGTAGTTTGGAATGCATTTTTTTTGTCTTTTTTGGTTAGCTCTGAACAAATATTAACATAAAAAAACCTGCTGAAATATATCATATTTGTTGGCGTGGTATGGTCATAATGAAACCAGAGGATTTGGAAGATACATGTTATGAAAGTATTTTAGTTAAAATAAGTAGGAAGATCACATAACAAGAAATTCATTTGACGTTGCCTACGTTTGTTTCCTGACTCAGCACTACAAGGCAGTGAGGAAAGAACTAGAATATTCCCACAAGATTGTGGACTATCATCGTACACACTGGACGTCCGGAGACTGGACAGATGATTCAGATCAGATGATTCTCATATTTTTGTCAATCATCGACAATAACGGCAAGGTAAAATCAGAAATCGTGTTCATCATAACATCCTACATGTGCCCTCTTGTGAGCACATTATGTACGAATTTTCTGTGATTTAAACACATAAACCGAATCCTCCCATTTTTGGAATAGTTCAAGAATCATGTTTATCTCCGGTTATAATATGGGTGTGTGAAACTAACGCCAAATGATCGCTCATCCATTGGTTCTTTGGTTCATTGTAGTTGACACCGTTGTAAGTTTTGAATCGCTTCTCAAGGTGCTGCTGAATGCAATTCACTCCACTTCCGGTTGCGTTTGGAGGCATCCGTAAGAAATTGAATCCGTGTTTGAGAGTGTCTTTAGATCTTCTTATTCCAAACGGTATTTGTAAACTAAGAATTCCGTCTTTGCGTATTGCAGAGTTATCTTCTCTTGGGAGCAAGTATTGATTGTTACGTCACTTGTTTGTGAGAGTAACGTCATCAATTTTTGAGAAAACAATCAATACCTGCTCCCAAGATAAGATAACTCTGCAATAAGCAAAGACGGAATAGGAGGATCAAATTGATTGATACTTCCTTCAAAAGGTGGATCCAATTGATTTTGCAAGACGGATAAAGAATTGGGGCCTCAAGGGATTCCCTGAGTTGGGGAATCATGTTGGAATGGGACAAGGGCGGACAACTCACAATGTTATCAACAAGCGGGATTATCTTGAAGACCCATTTGCCGTAAGTGTTTGTGTAAAATTTAATATATTTCAACCGAAACCACTTCTTTTGTATTAATACATATAGCTTTACATGTATTTATGTATGACTTACAAATATAGTCAAGAGTGAAATATTTGATTTCAATAATCATTTAATTTCTGCTTTAACTCGGAAACAACCTTACCCAGGGTAAGAATATTATATTTGCGTTATTGAAAATGGTAAGAAATTACTGATAAACCATTTGAAATACGCAATTGCATTTTCTCATGCTCTGAACATACTCTGTTTCCTACACGTTTGAAACAAGATCAAGGTGACTTAATCTCAAGTCACTTAAATCATTTAAAGTCACTGAATACACATGTATCGTTGTATCTGATATTTAGTTGAGTAAAAAAATATGTTTGTTGCGTATTTTTCATAACTTGATCATTAGGACCGAGTGGTTAAGGCGTTTGACCGTCTGCGATCACTAGCTCTCCACCACTGGGTCGCGGGTTCGAGGCTTACGTGGAGCATTCGCCAGGTTCTGGGCGGCAGCTCAGCGGTTTGTCTCCGGATACTCCGGCTTTCTTCAACCACCAAAACCTGGCGCGGCCTTAAATGACCAAAGCTGTTAATACATGTAGGACGTACACCACAAACAAACCTAACTATTTCACATATTGTATTATGTATATCTATTTACATGTATGCTGAAAAATTACTTGAAAGGATCAAAAAGACTAAAATATGTTACTTCACACCCCGTATTGCAATGTACCTGATTCTGGTCATCCTCGATATCCAGGGGTTACGCTCACTTTCTCTCGCTGCACCCCTGGAATATTTCATAGCAAAATCGAAGGCCCAGTGTGCAGTAACTTCTGGACGAGACGAGAAGACTAGTTTGATCCTTTGATGTACATCAAAAGAATCTTGCGGTCGTGTAACGGTTATGGCTTTGAAGTCGGCGTCGTTCCTTTGTAATATTCAAAGGTTAAGTATCAGCCTAGTGATTGGTCAGGTTTTTTTTGCCTGACACCAATCAAATAGATAGCCGCGTGCCTTCAGTTTTGCAATGACATATTACAGGAGTGAAGAGAGCAAACATGAACGTAACTCCTGGATATCGAAGATGGATTGTCGTGTCTTAAAAGTCTAATTAATAATGACCAAACATCTACGACAGGCAGCGATCCGAGTGTGGACAGTTAATGGAAAAGACGTGGCTTCCAATGGCGCCGTGATGCGGACAAGTATCCTGGGAGTCCACATGTACGCTGATATAGATGTTGTCGTACAGAACGCCATTACCATTGCTAGAACTACTCACGCTGACCCAAGGTATTGAAAAATTACCCAACGCTTCACGGGAAATGACTCTCAAATTGCTACTATGGTATATCTGTTAAAACGATTGTATTAAAGGTTGCTTTTTAATAATATTTGTGAACACCTTTCAAATATTACTTACTGCAAACCCGAATTTGAATCACAGCGATAAATTTTGCATTTATCTTGTATGGCGTCTGATAGAAACATCAAACGTTGATATCAAAATAAAATGGAAAACCTGAACTGACTCTTATTATTCGAGTTTTCAAAAGCGTCTCGAAATCACAAATCTCATGCTGATCATGATTGTAGATTCTGAAAAACAAAAACAAAACTTCAACTGTAAAACAAATCAAAACGAGGTTTACTGTCATAAAGGGATCTTCATATCTCATAGATCGATATTTTTTTCTGGCAGTGTATTTTCAAAAAGTGTCGGTCAAAATGCCCCTTTCTTAGTTAGTGAGCGTCTTAGTTTATTTTAAAAAAGTGTAGCGTGTAACGTGTGAAACTTATTGGCAGCCTTTTTTGGTCATCGTGATTATTTTCCTCTTGTACCTTTATCTTTGGCAGATGCCGAGCGTCAACGGTGTCTGTCTGTGTGGCTGTAGCTTTGATGTTACAGCGCAAACCAAAACATCTGGACAGGAAAGGAAATTACAAGATAAAAGCAATCATCGACGATTGTTATGACTATGCATCACAGTGTCTGGAAACTGATGAAAAAGTAAGACATCAGACATGTTCATACAACATAAAGTCATGTCATTGCAAACGTATCTATCAGGGAGTACATTTATTTGCCTACATGCAATTTGTCTATATATAATTATTAACTTTATAACGAAGGAGATTTTCTGAAATATAACTGAAGTATATTATCTTATTGTATGGTTGACGCTTACTTAAAGAATTAAATTATTATGAAAACAAAAATGTCTGTAGCCGATATATAAGTGTTATTAGTGATGTTAGAACTGGGTAGAACAGATAATGAAACCCGAGTGTTACAATAATATTTATTCTGTGACAAAGATTTGTCCTAACATGTTCATGCATGGTTGAAATTTCGTGTGCAGAAATTATTGTCTGGGTAATTGTTGAAGTCATTTTACCCCCGACTCTTTGCTTTGTATTATCTCTTGCTATCTTGCCAAATATCTATGGCGTTTTGTGGGAAATAGCGATCAGCGGTTAAGGTAAGGGGAAAATGTTGACGATTTGTTTCCCATTACATGTATAATTTATCATAATTATTGTTATGGAATTTTGAATTTGCGAATTTATGAGACATTGACTAATGGAGTCAGTTTCCGATTACCAGGGATCATTTTGTCAGAGACCTGACTGACGAGGTTCCATTGTAAAATTTGAATTGTCTCTTGTATGATGTTTTAAAAAATAGGTGTCTTTCTGTTTCAGAAAAAGGAACTTAAGTCATACCTTAAGTGCACAAAACTGAAAGATTTAAAACTTGACGAGGAAGGTAAAATTGGTTACACCTACAAGACAATGGGGGCAGGTTTCTGGGCTTTAAAGCAAGAAAATTTCAGGAAGACCATTACGAAAATTATTATGGAGGTATGTCACATCATTCAAAATCGGTAACTAATATGACAATATTAACAGTGTCTATGGCTATGCGATCATCTTAACAATGGTAGATCCATAAAACAGTCTACGAGAGGTTAGCTGGAGCAGTTCGTTCATCGTGTTTGATGGTTCGAAATTATAACATTTGAAAAAAAAAAGATTAACAGGTTTCTAAGTTTTAAAATAACCTTTTTTTGTGCAGGGTGGGGATGCTGACACGAATGCATGTGTAGCCGGAGCACTGTTGGGGTGTAAATATGGCGTGGACACGATACCTAAGTCATGGAAGGATAAACTCATACACAAGGAGTGGCTAGAGGCAATTATTGACAGGTAATAACTTGCTTTATAGATATTTCATCCTCGATATCCAGTGGTTACGCTCACTTTCGCTCGCTACATCCCTGGAATATGTAATAGCAAAATTGAAGGCTCAGCGTGCGCCACCTTGTTGATGAGACAAGAAGACTAGTTCGATCCTTTGATGTACATTAAAAGAATTTCGCGGTCTCGTAACGGTAAAACTTGACAGGCTTTGAAGTCGGGCGTCTCTCCTTTGTAATCTTCAAAGGGCAGTATCGGTCTAGCGATCGGTCAGTTTTGTTTACCTGAGACCAATCAAACAGCTATTCTCGTGCCTTCAATTTTGCTATGACATATTCCAGGGGTGCAGAGAGCGAAAGATATCGATGATGTAGATATTTGTATATGTTATGGGGAACAAATGTAAATTGTGCAGCAATGAAGTTTTAACATAAATCATCAAGGACTGTGTAGACTGTAGACTAAGTATTCAATTGGTCAAACAGTAGCAATATTGAGGGTCTTTGCAGACGAATATCACACTTTCTAAAAGACTGTATACAAAGTCGATGTAAGCTAGGTCACCTACTCTAATAAACTACAGTACATGAGAATATTATAATTGCGTTGTTTTTAGTAATTGTAGGTGTTGTTAAGTTTACCGTATATACTTATAAGATGGCTTCCATAAGATAGGTACATTTATTTGACTGTGTTAGAAGTTATACATGCTACTATTTTGGGAGTCACTGGCTTAAATCCAGTACTGACACATGGAATCGTAATTGCTTAAGCCACGGTATTTTCGCAATTTTAGTTCATATTTTGTTAGCTTTTTGACATCCTTTTAAAAATGCCGAGAATGCCTAATGTTTATTCTGACAACCGTCATTAATCTCATAAAATACTGAGAGGGTACTGACCGAAGTTGGCAACTTGATTATTAGGTGAATTACGGTATGAAAATGCAGGAGTATTATTTGTCACAATTTGTTAAATCTAATTATAGATATTTCCGTATGATGGCAGAAGCACACGACATCGACTTCACACCTTACTGGTCAAGAGTATCAACAGAGCCACAAAACTGATACAGCAGGCTGTAGAGACGTTTAAAATGATTTATTCATATACAATATTGCTTCTCTTGTGGCACTATTCAGAATACTCATGTAAGAACATACTGCTTATTATACAGCATATTCTTGAGAGGAAACATTATTTACTTATACATCCTCTGACACCATTCGCAATATTTTTTTACATATTATTACAACTGCGAAGTATCTACTGATTGTTCCTAGTCAGATAGTCTGCATCTAGCGCTCGTGGTATGACTACTCTCCAGAGTCTAGTCAAATATTGTAGCATCAACTGTGCCCCCATGGTCAAACTACATGTATATTTTTTTAAGTTTATATTTTGCATTTGCGTAGTTGTAGTTATGATCTTTAAGAGTTTCGTTATATACTTATATGCATGTATATTATGTTTTATCTATTTGCGTAAATCTTTTTATTATTGTCATTAACTTATAATCATAAATGCATACTTCATTTATACGGGTATATTTGTATTTCGAATTAGCAAAGATAAATAAAATAGGAATGTTTGTCTACAAATTAAATCTTAGAATATTTCCAAAATAATTTACTGAACGTGCTTATGACGTTATCAAACACAATTTATGTATTAGTTCATTACTGTATTTATCGCGGTCAACCCCACGGTATAAATTAGTGTAATACTGTATATGAAACATATAACATTCTAACGTAATTATAAGGAGTGTAGTCCGAGTCAACTTCGTCTAGAGAAGGATATTTGTGATATTTATTGGTCAAAGTTAAATTTTACATTTACATTATGCAAGTATCATGATGTAACCGGACTGGATATATTTCTCGTCTTCTTTTTGAGAAATGTAAAATTTCATGAGTAAACATTACTTGCATATATCATAATCAAAAATATGTAAATTAATTACTAAATTGACGATTAAGTGATATTGCCTATGTTATTATATATGATTATTTATAATGGTTGTGGTGTATTGTATATAAGGTTGTAGATCGTTGAATAAACCAAGTCACAAGTTGACTGAGTCTTTTGTTATTTCAGGAAATAATTGTTTCCCTTAACTTGTTACTGTCATGTAACTATAAATATGTTGTATGTCATATATTATGTGACTTTGTTATATTTAAACGAATATGATTTTGTAGACAAATAATGAAATCTAGAGATAACGGTTTCAAAATTCCGATCGTGAACACGAGGCCGACGTTACAGTGTGAATCAAGGAATTTAGATTGTGCGATCATCTTTTATGTCACATGTAAAGAGTGATTGAAGTAAATATTGAAGTGTTGGACAAAATCACAAAACAAATTTATAAATTATTTTCATAATAACTGTTTCATCACGCACGATGATAAAAACTATAGAATATGTTTTAATGTGACATGACTTGTCAAGAAACCATTGGCAATGATAACTACACAAGATGAAAATGGATTCCTAGTTGTACACGCTTATTCGCACTTTTTTACACAGAAAAAGAAATATTTTCATAAGAATTGGGAGCTTGTTTTGTGATATGTAGCTTATTGCTTCTATTCAATACTTTCATGTATTGTACAAAAGCAAACTACAGTGCGTTTTATTCTATATGCAATAATGGCATACCGAAATATAATCTCTTTCGTGGTTTCTCCGTCCACCCGTCACTTAAAAGGTTCACTGCCAGACGATTGAAAACTAGAAAAAAAAGTTACCCGAGGGGAGTTGAGAGACCATGTTACTGTAATGTCACTTCACCTTTGGAAGAGAGTTTGAGAGACAAGATCATATAACGACAATGATACACGTGTGCGGAGAGCAGATATAATGGCGCCGTGATACGCTACGTCCTACCAGAAGGGTGTGCATCTAAGGGAGTGCTGAGAGACGATGTAATGGCAATTGTATGACACCTCTTATCAGGGGAATGTTGACTAAAGTGGCAATAGCAATAGCTCGTCCTTTTCTATTAGAAGAGATGGGATACCAAAAGAGGATATAGCGGCATAATAAATGCGTTGGTCCAGAAAAATAATGAATGAAATAAAATTGTATTTCCAGTTCTTAATCGATGACACTAGGGCAAAATATGAAGGAATGAAAACAATACATCGAGAACTTTGAAAAACAACTAGACCAAGTGTTCAAGAAGGGTAACCGTCTTCTGTGAAATTGATAACACAAATCATGTAATTCTAGTTCAAGTTACGGTAATGCCGTGTCCTCAAAAAGATAATCGGGGAATGACGGACAATGGCAGTAGGAAGTGTGTATTATCAACAACTTCGACATTCATATCGCACAAAGAAATATAGAAATATTTCCAAATTGGATAATGATGGCGATAATACACCTTGTTTATTGTCTTCAACAACATACATGTACATGTCTCAAAACGCTTTGTTGAATGTTTGTCTGTAAACAATCGACATCTACCAATGCATATCGAAATTTTAATGTTGATCACATAGTTTAATTCTTAGCAATCAGTCCTTGTTTGTCGTGATGTAAGTAATTATCGGGGTAGGTAAATGTCGTAGACGAGACTGTTGTGTTTTTTATTTGAAGCTCAGGTAGAATATACGGTCGACGTGGTCGATACCTTTCTTGCTATCAAAAGTAAACACATCGTCAAGGCATCAAAAGGGAAATTGAAGCATTTGCCAAGGTCTCTGTTACCTACACTGATAACGTCGTGGACAAATCCAGCTTCATATACACGAACAGTAAAATAAGTCTGTCATAAAAGGACCAATGAATATGCAGGTTTTTCCGCGAGCAAAACATTTCCACTTCTTCAGTAAGCTATTTTTTCATAATTATGTGTTTGGAGCATATTGAGAATAAACGAAATATTATCCTTCGCTATTTTTCTATCAATTATTCGTGGGTTTTTTATCCTCCAATTGTATGATATATGTGAGGAATAATACGTACACAATATATTAAATGTACCGCGATGTAATAAAAAACCTGATGTTATAGCAATTCAAACTAGTCGTGCATGAACGCCCACCCGTTTTACCATCTCACGTTCCAGATAATGATCTATTTCTACCAGTGGCAGTCGGCTGTCAACAGATAAATGCAAATGCATCACTTTTGCGCTTTTAAATTTCCCAGTTTCACGCTTTAACGATTGTATTGTTTTCAATGGAAAAGTACATTACAGACGTATCATGCTAAGTATTTCACAATACACCGAACCACGTGATGCACACTTGCCTGCAGATATTACAAGTAACAGGTAGGAGTATATTGAGGTCAAACACATCGCCGTTCACTCAAAACTCATCCATACCTATACAGAGGTAACAACATGGATAAGGAAATGATTGGTCTTATTTGTAAAGTGACGGCTACAACTTCTGCAGGCCTGTTCGCTGGTAGTGGATTGGGCAGTAACTTCACGACAATGCCGGCTATGTTGAAGATTGAGGATACATCTGCATTACGGGTTGGGTGGAAGCACCACTTCCTCCTCGGGAAAAAATATATGGTAGGTAATACACGGGGATATCACGTGGTAAGGGTCAAATCTTCAAAAGCTACATTTAGCTTAAATTGTAGTGTAAATTCTGTAACCCTATTATGCACTCAATACAATATAGGTTGTAAGATAATGCAAATGAAGATAAATGTGAGTTTTAAAGAACTTGATAATACGTATACTTGCAATGTTGGAGGTCGAAGGGGGCCAAATATCACATTATAAGGTGACTTTTGTTGCTTTGTGACTCTAATTTATTTTAACTCAGTATACCCTTTCAAAATTGGAAATATGTACATTAAAAAAAACTACATTGTAATTAATATTGTGCATTTATCATCTCACTGCCCATCACCGAGGTTATAGAAAATGTGCACATGTTTGTCACCAAAAGCACCAACACCTTTTTCTATTTCTTTACTGATGCAAGCATTGCACTAATTACCACGGCATTTCATCATTGTTATAATCTTTAAACGATTTGAACAACTTTCAAGATTTATGGACATTCCCACCTTCTTATCGATCGTTTTTTTTACACATATAGTATATGTACATTTATATTATGCACCTGTCTCAGAATACATTGTTTTTTCTGTTTTGATCCAAAAGCGCAGGATCGTTGTGAAATATTTTAGCACCATGAAGGGAGTTAAAAGATTCTCTAAGACCATTGTTTCCTTAAAAATATTCGCAAGTAAGAGGCAATTAAGAATTCATTCTAACTGTTTCAAGCTCCATATCTCCCTGTTTATTTGCTTAGACTTGAGAAATAGAAAACAATAATTATTTTTGGCTGGTTTATATGTGTTACATGCTACTGTGTTTGATGTGTTAAATTGTTGATTAACTCATTTTGTTTCTATCATTACTACAGGGTCGGTGTGCACAGCTTAGTTTCCTAGCAGGATGTTCGACCTGTTACCTTGATACCACGGAAACCAAATACTACTGGCTGGCTGGTGCTTTTTGCATGTTTTTCATATTTCCCTTCACAGCAATAGTCATGATGCCCGATATCCAGAAATTACTGAAAGACGACGTCATAGCTACAAGAGGTAATAGCAAATTATTATTAGCTTGGTAACGTTATTTATATAATTTTAAAAATGGGCAAATTATCCTTGCGTTAGTGAATAAAATAACATAAAACAGAAGAAATTTGCATTTCTCATTCTGACTCCTCAGGCACAATTAATGAAAACAGTAAAGGGTACAATCCAAAAAGCCACTTTACAAATAAAAAACGTCATAACCTTAATACGGTGACATATTACTCCAACCTGTCGCATTGTTCCGACAAAGTATAACATGCATAAATAGGTGTCTATGTAAAATGTAAGGTTGGTGAGAAAAGAAAACTGTAGTCATACATGCACCTGCTGGAGAGATCCCTTTTGAACAGTCATACCTGGTAAAAAGAACATTTCTTGTAAGGGATCACCTGTGTTCAGAAACGATTTTAAAAATCTCCTTTACAGTCATTGTCACGTTTACGATCCTTGTATATAGACACCTCATGCCTCAAATAAAAGATCCCCTGCTTGATTTCTGCAATGTGTTTCTGAATATATGCCTAATACTTGCGAAAGAATTAAGTCGTTATTCCAATTTTGAATGTTGTGTTATCAAAATCGATTAGAAGGAAACTAATTTCCAAGAAATGTATTATATCAACATTTGGCAGGACTTGAATTTATAATTTTAAGACTACATTATGATGCAGAACCTCTTTAAAATACAATGTATGTTTAAATCATCTTTTATTTTACATTAAGAGACCTTAACGAAATAGAAACAAAATATTGGTATAATAATACTTGTTAATATTATTTCTAGGTGTGGATTGGGTTCGATCCAGCATCAATACATGGGACAAACGGCACTTCAAACGCAGCATGGCGTCGACAATTGGTTTCGGAATCTTCTTGTACGCCCTTTACAACAGGCAGTAGTGTATTCCTCACTAGCGCGGTCTTGTGTGCATCCTGTCGTGATATTTTTCACATTCTTTCTCAACGAATAATAGTCGGTGCTTGGTGAGATGAAATAGATATTTTTTATACCTAATAGCCAAAATAGGCAAAGATTATCTTAGTTTCTGTGAAGTGACTTGTAATGCAATATTTTTCGGAGAACTTTGTAAACAAACAATTTGGTTAAAATGAAAAACAAACAATTAATAAAAACAAAGAAAGTGCGGGAGGATTTTGTTGATTCATTGATCTTATACCGTTCGTAGTTTTGAACGTTCGATCTGTTTAAGGCTCTTTCAGGCACGAACGTTTAAAAGCAATATTTGTATGGTGTATATAGGTAAGTTTTGAGACAGTGCTTTTTATGATTTTGCAGTAAGCTCCTCGAATAATCGAAATAAAAATGGTAAACATTCTAACAAGATAATGCTATCAACACCAAAAATTCCAAACACTGTTCGACTTCAAAATGCTAAACAATTGAGCCGGTTGTCCCAATACTTAGAACAAATAATCCAATTGCCCCGCTTTCCAGCCACTCCCTATCTGGCTGTCAAACTGTCGAGCCACCTATGAATTGATTGTCCCATTCTCCAGCCACCCATCACTTGATCACTTAATGGGATTGATAGAAGCAAGATGTTCTACTGAGAACGGAGATGGTTGGATTGACATTGAAATTATTTTCTTTTCACTGCAAGTTATAAATGTGCATTTATAAATCGTTATGACTAAAAATGTAACATCTTTTGTACAAACTGACCTGTTATAAAGCTGCGGGGAGAAACATATTTTGAGAGTTCATATATTGTTTAAACTTTCATAGTGAAATCTCCATTTCAAATATGATAAAACCAAGAGAAACAAAGTTACATTCCACAATATTTTCCCTGTTAATTATGTTACTTATGACTTGAAGGAATCACGTCACAGCTGATTCATTTTGATTGCATATCGTATTAGATAAAGATGATTTTTTATTAACAGGAATAGGAAATCTACAGCGACGTCATAACTAAATAGGAAAAATATAATTTAAACAGCAATATATTTATCATTTCTTTTCTATAATATTTAAATAGATTTAGATGCACTTACAACTTTAATAATTTTCCGAAAATAATGGTCACTGCATTTTTATAACTCTATACAATATTTACTAGCTATTTTATCCTATTGAAGTTGTAAGCTCACTGTTGAGTCCATTTTGTAATGTTAAAAGAACAAACAGTTTGATTTGTATACACTGGACAAATTTTGTTCGATATACTTGACATTGTAGAATTAACTCAGAATATCATCATTAACAAACGGTTTGTTTGCCATAGTTGCAAATCATTCCTTCCAAACATTTGTTAGGAATATTTGTTGGTTTGAAAGATATAGGTGAATGACAACCTAGCATTGAAGGAACATATACATTTTCATCAAAATAAACATATGAAATGACCTAACACAAAGCAAAGACTTGTTCATAGATCTAGAGAGGCCAAGACACATACAAACACTCCAGAGCTCGAGGATTCTCCTGGTTTTTCGTTCGGGGTTTCGTGCATAAAAGGACATTGTAGAGTTTCAATCTTACATATAATACATATGTACTGTGCTGAGAAAGTATTTTTATATCGAAGATGAGGTATGTGATGTTTTCATGAAGAACATCAACAACAACAGCAATAAAATCATAAACAAAAAATAATAACAAAAACAACTACAGTAGGGAAAAAACCATTTTACATAAAAATTAAAGCTGACTACGCTTTAACTATCATGCTCTGACGTGTGTATTAGCTTCCGACCTCTGTTAATACAAATGGCCGACATGATTAATAAATTTGCGACTGGTTTAGTGCTTGTTAAATGTCTTATGTAGCATAAAATCATCTATTAATCATCAATAATGATGAAATGATTTTAGATATTTCAGACGTTCCCCATTAAATTGATAGTACACACATAAGGTACCATGCTACCTTGACCTTCCTTCTCCATATGCTCCAATATATATAGGTCTTTACACTGCCTCGCTCACTTACACAGTCTACACAGTGTTAACAACATGGAGAAGGAAATGGTTGGTGAGATTTGTAAGGTGTCGGCGACAGCATTTTGCGGCCTGTTCGCTGGTAGTGCCCTCGGCAGTAACTATACTACAATGCCAGCTTTAATGAAGATAGAAGATACGTCAGCATTACGGGTGGGATGGAAACACCATTTTCTTCTCGGAGCAAAAATGATGGTGAGTACGTGAGCAAGGCACGTATGAGATAAACGCTTTCAAAAGTTCATGATTTTGTATTCAGGTTTTAGAAGTGTATGTGTACATATAGTTATAATGTTGACACAGTCTCGTCTCGCTGTGTTTGTTTACATGTATATATTATTCACACAGGCGAACTGGAACGGCATTTGACCTCGAGTTGTGGGACATTTAATGGTCTAATCTATAAAAAATGTACAAGAAAAGTATACTTGATCTTTATATATACATGTAATTTAACAAGACTGTTTAACCTGTTTGCCTCCATTAAAACTATTACGAAATGTTGTTAAATATCCCCTTCAGCTATGAAGAGGGGGTATAAGGATGAATATTCATGTTTGATATCGGGAAAACGTCATATCCCACAAATATGATAAGTATGTGGACGATGTCTTCAATATTTTCTTCTGAAATGCAACTGTTTGAACCGATTGAGCTGTAGATATACAGATTTGGCGAACAACGCTACGGTCATGCGGAAAGGACCAACGGTCAGAGACCTAGATTTTGTTCGGGGACACCACTCCATTCCTGTTATCTATGTAGGGTAGTACGATAAAAACGTTGTGTTTTCAGGCCATAGTTAATCCTAACTTAGCTTGGGTATTCTAGACCAACATTGTTTTGTAACCAACCAAAGTATTTTTCATACCAGACTGGTATCAAAATCGATTAAAACAGGCAAGATATGAACAAAGAAAATTATTACATGGAGACCCTTGGAAAAATACAGAAAGAACAAGACCAGGTGTTAATGTTTGATTACAGATCCATTCAATTGTGTAGAGAAACTCGTTTAAAGTAACATTTCTAAAATTATTTGAGTAACTATTACGGATTTGGAGTTGATTAACGTTTAAATAGACATCAACGCAATCATCAAACTTTCTGATGACATTTAAAATGATCTATATGTTATTGCAATGAATGCAGGGAGGCTTTAAATGAACTTTCAGCCAATGATACATATTTTATGGATTTAAAAAAAACAATCTCCTATATGATACTCTCTGTTTACAATAACTAATACGTCTGAATCGTACGGATTTAAAGGAGTCACATATTGACTGATGATAATTGTACAGTAGAACCATGATCCCTTTATATAAAAGTCAATCTATTTGGATCGTTCGATATACATTAAGAGAACTACATATGTACAAACATGTGTATTAAGTTTTTGAAGACCAGAAATTGTCAAACTGCGTATAACGAATTCAGTTTTAGGATGTCTGTTGTGAGCAAAATAGATGGACCCGATTCATGCATTGTTAGGAAGCATGTTTCATATGAAATAACGTGTTATAATTATAAGTCTTTATCCACATTTTTGTACAATGATAACGTAATTATGCCAAACATTTTTACAACAAAATATGACCGTTTGAACTATTGGTATGAGCACTCTATGTAGAGGTACGCAGTGATACATGAGTGATAGACACACAGATAATTATAACAATATTACCAGCAGAAATAATGTGCAGTTATCAGAATGTAAACGTTTATCCCACTAGGATATCAAACTCAGTCAAGGAAATTATTAAAAAGGAAAATTAAAATAAAAAAAAAACAAAGTAAAAATGATATAACGTAACCGGCTTATGGCACGTCGCTGTATATAAATATTTAAAAGTATGTACAGTGTCGGTGTTTAAGCCCAATGTCGAACCATATCATTATTCAGACTACTTAATCACTGTCTTATATTGGACTGCCTAATTATTCAATCTAATGCATTATTTAATTTTTTGTTTGTTTGATGAATTAAACTATTGTTTTGTTTTTATATTTTTTGTCACATGCAGCCCTGTCTCGCATTGGGTAGTATGTTATCTGGAGGTGTGGCCTGCTACCTTGACAATACGGATGCCAAGTATTACTGGCTTGCCGGTGCTGGATGCATGGCTTTCATTTTGCCCTACACAAAAGCAGTTATGCTCTCTGACATCCACAAACTACTCAAAGATGACGTCATAGAAGAGAGAGGTAATTATGGGATAGTCAAACTTCTTCACTGTATCAGAATTCAGTGTAATACAATACACTCATTACAACAGATCGTGATACATAATGTATTAAAAATGAAACACTAGCACTGGCATATTTCATTACACGTTTGATGTAGGCTACGTATGATCTTTAGAAATTCAACAAAGTTCTTTTAATTGTACTAAATTCTGATTGTAAATGTCCGTGTTTCTTCGGCCAATACTCCAGACTTTCAACATTTTACACAGATGTCTTTGTAAAATGAAATTCTGTTGTTTTGGCCGACTGAGGAAACTCGGGTTTTGTATCATCCGTTTTAATATTAATGTACATTTATGAATAACTAGGTCAAGTTGATGACCTATAGAATAATTTAGTTTTTTAAATTAATATTTGTTTTCAGGTTCCTAATTAAATGCTCTAGTAATATTTCTCCGTGGTGGTGTTGCATACATCTAATTTGTCCTAAATTTTCCACATAAAAGGCTATAGCTTAACATGTTGGTATGTGAATTGGATCTGAAAAAATGAAACCCAACAGAATAATTAGTAAATCAGTAAAGAACTGGTGGTTTTGTTTTAATCATTTAACTTAACTTAAATATATGTGTAATTGTATTCAAACTGATCGCCAACTAATATGAATCATGACATTGTCAAAAAATCAATAATTGCTTATAATTAGGTTAGAGGACTAGATCAAACTTTTCTTTGGCTTTGTGTTTTCGATCCAAATGTAGAAAAAAAAAATCATTTCTGTTGAGCATGAAGTTATGGCTAAACAGAATGTGTGTATGTTTATTTTTATGTATGTAATGAAATAATGCTGTTATAAAAATTAGGTTAGATATAAAGTGAATGCTATGTTAAAATGATGTATTTTGTAATACATACCTCAATTTAGTCATTTACGTTGTGTATGTTGTAGGTGCAGACTGGGTACGAGAGAATATTAACACGTGGGACAAACGCCACTTCGTTCGCAGCATGGCATCAACAGTTGGATTTGGGATCTTTTTGTATGCCTTGTACAACAGAAAGTAGTTCTATCACACAACTTAGGACCACTATGAATGTGTTATTGTATCGTTGTGTTGACGTTTAACGTGTATTAGTGCTTGTTCAAACGAGAAAATCTTTATAATTGTGTGTATCTTTCATAGTAAATATGTGTATATCAGTGTGAATGAAAAGTATACGATTGTCTGAACGGGATAACTCAGGAAACTCTTTCATTTTCTTGCACTTCTTTTTACTCACAAATATGTTTCTGTTTGTTTTTGAAGATGAGTAATGCAAATCATATCTTTCGAATCGTCAAAAAGAAATTGCAATTGGATTTTCAAAACATCTGTGTCCCTTAGAAGATTTTAAACTAAAAAGTAATGTCAATTTTTTTTACAAGAGTTGATATTTCCCTGACTATCTTTAAAAATAACTGATAGTAGTGGATATCATTAATTTAATATTGTAAATTCATTATTATCCCCCTTAGGTGTTAAGTACCCCTAATTTTTTTATAATATTCATTTATATCTATGTCCAGTATTTGCAAAAATGATTTTAACGTTTATGTAGAAAAACTATGGTCTAAAACATCAAAAGTAATAACAAAAATATTAATTGAGGTATAACGTTCAGATTAATATTCATTTTTTAATTTTGAGATGTATGTCACCTTTCTACGCCATGTATCTTCTGCTTCAAAGGAGTAACCTGTCAAGTAAATATAATATAAACATGTGTATAACTAGCTTAATTCATTGATAATACTTTTGAAAGGAAACAAAAAATAGGTATTGCAATCGCCCTGTGCTAAATTATTACATTATGTATATTAAAGGTGTACTCTTCAGGGAAAAACTCTAATGCAGATCACATTTATAATGTGTTTAGTAGCATATATCTTGAAATGTGAATTGTTTTCCGTGTGTGTATCGTGGAGCTGTAGATGACAATGTTTGGTATGACTATGACGACCATTATTATACAGTAGTTAAGAATAAGTGTACCTCTTAGGAATATCTGGGTAAAGTAACATTACACAAGAACACATGAACATTCTTAATATCTGTATTAATATAGATATGTAAGTACTTTCTGGACCATCCATTTAAATGGTGGTTCATTAAATATAGGCATTTTTTCTGATTTTGTAGAAATTCTTACTGCTTTATTTCATCAGATTAATGACGTTTTCGTCTAATATTGTGCGAATTGTGCGTTTTATATATTTACTGCTGTAGTTCATAGTTTTACTAGAAAAGTATTTTAATAAAACGTTTCTATTAAAATGCTGTCAGTGCTTCTTAAAATATAATGGTACATGAAATTAATGTATTCAATGACCACGCGCGATGTGTGACAATGCGTGAGTAACAACAGCTTAACCACAGACCTGGGACTACGAGAGGTTCTACTTAGACATTGGATCACAAGTATTTATATCAACACCTCTGTTAAGATGATCCAGTGAATCTATTAGTTGTAATTTAGCAAAAGTAAGTCACGGGAACAACAAAAAATAAAACCTGTTTGCTATGAAGGTTGAACAATTTGCGAAAAAGGCATTATTTAGTTATTTTAAATACTGCCTATTGTAATTTGCATTCAAATACTAAGAAATTTTTGAATATAATGAACATTTTTGTCATTCCATCAAAGAACTTGATATTGATTGTAACCCGAAAAAAATATTAGAAAATAAAAATATATTCAAAACCTTTTACAATTAACAACTACATGTACATTTATCTTAGAAGAAATAGACAGGGTCAAAATAGTTGGTTTTAAATTTCCTGTCGGTAGAGCAAACAACTCAAGTGGGTAGACTGTTATTTACCATAGCAGTGTAAACATGAACACGTGGCAATGTAAACTGACCTCGACCTTTGTGTAGCTCATTTCACGGTCAAGCAGACACATGTTCTAGCGACAATATGGAGAAAGGAATGGTAAGCGACATTTGTAGTGTTGCGACCACAGCGTTCGCCGGCATGTTTGCTGGTGGTGCTGTTGGTAGTACCGTATTCACCATGCCAGCCTTAATGAAGATTGAAGATACAGCGGCAATGCGGGTGGGCTGGAAGTACCACATCCTCTGCGGGTCCAAGTATATGGTATATTCGCCTGCTTAATGTATGTAGTGTAAAACACTATCAAAATATCTTAAATTGTTACTTAAATAGTATAAATGCAAATATCTCTCAATATAATAATATACCCGTCATAGCAAGCCTGTAAATATACTGCCTGTTACTTTTTAGAGAACAAAGAAAAGTGTCTGTTTAATACTTACCCCACAGGTAACTTAGCTTATAAAATAAAAAAATAAACACTTAATTGTCTATTTATCAAATTTTAGGTTAATATTTAAAATTCATTTGTGCATATACACATCATAAGTCATACATGATGTACAATACAGATATAACAGATAACAACTAAATAGTAAGACTTAACAGTCAAATATAGCAATACTGATACATTTCATTTACATTACACGTTCTAAGCCACCAAAAACAAGACAAGCTGAAATATGCCCATATTTCCCCAAGTCGGCATTATGAATACGAGAAAAGATTAATGAGCAAATAATTTCTATTAGCAAAAAAGCATGGAAAAGATATCAAACCACTTGAATATGAATTTTTGAACGGCAGAGATATTCGGTATTTGTTAATACAGTACTGTAAAAATGTAATGGGGTTTCCCAGACTTAAAAAAATACTTTCATCACTTTCCCATTCGAGGACCAATTTTTGAATACATTTTTTGATTCCGTGATGTAATATGCAAAAATAAATTGTATGACGGTAAAGTGCTAAAAATAATGAAAAACATGATTGATAGAGTTTCTCAAAACTGTTTTTTGTGTTAAAACAGACTGTATTAGTGTAGCGAATCTGTAACGCAGTTTACTGAAGTGAACGGTGCAAGTTCGAATCCACGTTCAGATTAACTTTTTTTTAACATTTAGGCATGCAATATTTTCCCTTAATTAAGTAATGGAATATTTTTCAAATCCATGGAACATTTTATTGATATTTCAATAACATGTCATCAAATTCCTGCACACATGGACAGTACAGCTACCCTTTGTAGATAATACATCATTTTAAATGATATTTATAAATTGTTTTACCCTCCAATTGGCACTAGTAATTTTATTTATTATTTAAACACAAACAAATGATGCCGAAATAAAAAAATATATGTGGGATTGTTGCGTTATAATAAATAAGGTCAAGCAAAAAAAATGTTATTATTGCAAATATACACTACAGTCCGACAGTCAAGTGTCACACATTTCCATCGTTTGGTGCTCAAGGTGTGCTTACAGATAATGGTAAAATTCATCATTATCTCACTTATTAGCATAGGCTGTGATCACTTCTAGCTCACCAGGATGGAAATAATTATAGATTTTAAAGGATTTTTATGATAGTTATTATATACTTCTAACATCTAGGAATTTAGATGAATTTCTTTTTTTAAAGTTTAATTATCAACTGTTAAACACCACATTCTTAGTCACACATAATCATTCTTACTAGGTGTTAAGGCATCTTATTAAATGTTACAATAATAAAGAAAAGTTTCATTTTATAACTATTTATATTACTATTTTAATAATATGTTTAAAGAACAAAATAATTACAAAATAAAACACATTTCATCTTATTATATGTCATATCAGCAGCACAAGGACTACAGAATGGATATATTTAATATAGATACATTTATATATATAAATATTATTGAAATATTTCAAATTAACTTTTGCTATTAAAAAATTATATGATGTATTATTAAATTATATATGATCAGCTTCCAGCTTAGATAGAACACCACCCTATAGCTACTAGATAGAAGGGTTAACCACAGGTAAAAATAAAAGGTAAATACAGGTAGATACTGCCAATACTACTCAGAAACAGACTATAATCCTTCTAACAACATTCTCCCCCCATGTTATTTTAAAAAGTGGAGGAACTGAGAACAAACTGTGTATACAAAATGTAGAGGGCTCGTTGTTTTCTTTCTATCGGGACACCGTATAAGTTAAAACAGGGGAAAACGTGTTGGTGTCCGAGCTAAATCGGTTATGCCACAGCTTGATGAAGTTAGCCGCGAAAGGGCATAATGCAGTGAGTGTGGAGTTAGATACGCTGAAGGCGTCCGGCGTTTTAGTGTGGTCAGAAAAAACAACTTCAGGCTTTAGAGCAGGTTTGCAGCCACGAATTCGACAGCCGCACGTGGGAGGTCACGTATTGCGTCACGTAGACAAGACAGGTATATCTGCTTTCACAATCGGCGTAATCAGACAGTTATGACGTCAAGTACTGCTTCCAACATTCCCAATCACCGTCGCAACATTAGTCCACAAGCTTTAATCCCTCGGATGACTGATGTAGGGATTACGTTCTCACCGACCATATCGTGTGCCTCGATTGACCCAACGCCACATCCAAAGTCGCTCAACGTGGGCACGATTACATTGACGATGATCTCTACGACAGTGACTATTAACTGATGAGTTTCAATACCTACACTATTCCTCAGATGGCAGAACGATTGATTAAACATATTAGGGTGGCCGGATGGCGCGGTGGATAACGCACTCGCCTTTCACCAATCCGATCGCGGTTCGATTCCCCGATCGTTTATAAGTAGTTTAAAAATATTTTCATTTCCACCATTTACACATTTAACAGTTTTCAAGTATAGTATTACTAGGATCGGAAAACAGGCTATTAGCCTATACTTATTCCTTTTCTCTATAGGACGTTACGGTAAATAAAACATTGACATTTTACACATAGCAATGATAAAAGATGGACAGAACGGTTGGGCAAAATTTGACAGCATAATGAAATTTCATAACGAATATGGCACATCGACTCGGTTGAACACTTAGTTGAACATCAGTCGTATAAAGAAATGTTAAATTCATTATTAACCCATAAAAACAACGAGGTGGGTTGATATTTTTTTTGTGAAATGATGTTCGTTAAGTTAGCAGCATTTCGAATCGGGGGAATCTGGAATGAGTATTTCGTCTCTATGATAACCTTTAAGTTCGGAATTTGTTTTTTTATAATATATCATGCAAACGAAAATCATCACTCAAACACTTGCCAGTTTAATTTTTGTTTACCTAAGTAAATATTGGCTATGGTGTAATACACTGTAACACAATTAACAAAGACAGAACCAGCAGACAGACATGAGAGACGAGGCAGCGGTGTAAGTCCAGCATCACGTCCACCAATACCTATCTACATGTAGCTACAAAAATAGAAAACGATCTGCTTTGGAAAAACAAATAATTCATGATCAATGGAAATGAAACAGGAAATAGTTGTGTGAAGTATATACAGATGTGTAATACTAGAGTAAAACGATTTTACCTCTGCTCAGCATCACTCAATAAATATCTCATGTGAGTGCTATAGACTCCAAACGCAGTCGTGGGAGTTGATGTTAGTTTAAAAACACCTTTCACCTTACAATGTAATAATGCAAAGCTTTAAAACCGCTATATGTGTAGACGAAAAACATGTTTTTTGTAGGATTTAAGAAATTGAACCAAACGAAACTAATAGAACTCTGTTTATTTCAAACTTAACAGCTTGACGCAATTCTGTGCATACATGAAAACATATGCTTATGATTTAATAAACAGACACTCATATTTTTCAGTTAAGCAGACAAAGTATATTTAAACCTCCGCTTTTTAAACGGAATGATTTACAAATTGTTGCCATTTCAATCTAAACAATAGACAATAGAATATTCTATATCCTACATGTGAGTAGAAATCGACAAGTTGTACAAAAACTTTTTTTTTTTTTTTGCAATAAACATTCGTTTAATTGTTTTAACAGCCCAAACTTGCGATGGCCAGCATAGTGACCGGAAGTGCAGTTAGTTACCTTGATGACACGGATAACAGATGGTATTGGTTGGCCGGAGCAGGAGCCATGTTATCCGTCATTCCATTCACAATATTTGTAATGCTTCCTGACATGAACAAACTTCTCAAGGACGATGTCATCGAGCAGAGAGGTAACAGAATGGCTTATCATATCTAGGTTTGGGCAATGTAATGAAATTTCGATTAAAGTTGTAGAATTTACGGAGCTTTTTCGCTTGCTTTCATTTGCGCCCGAGAAAACGACGGAACAATCAGAATGCGAAAAGGTCATCATGGTCGAAATTGTTTGAATTTCGCAATACATATTTTACGTATGCAATAATTGTAAATATTTATTTTGTAAGATGCAAATGACTAATTGAAATCATAGCGTAAATGCGACAATAGATATTGACGTGCGCTTTTTGTCTTCTAATAATCGCTATACGATACCGCTTGTTGGAGGATCCAATAGATCATGGTTATAACAAATTTGAATGTATGTACATCTTTTTAACTGTCACGGGTTAACGTGCATCAGACAGCCGAGCAAATTATGCCACGTATAGATAGATAGAGTTTGTTAACTTTATATCGCGAAATAAGGTATTTTCATATATAACAAGTTATACAGTATTGTGTTCTTCTCATTGCTTGCTTTCAATTATAGGTGAGGAGTGGGTTCGAATAAATATCCACACATGGGAGAGACGCCACTTGGTACGCGGTGTAGTGTCATCAGCTGCATTTGGGATCTGTCTGTACGCCTTATTACGAAGAAACTAAATATCTTAGAGCTATATTCATAGTTGGCGTTGTCGATATCAATGTGTGGCATATCATGCGTAGTTCAAGTTAACTTTTACTTATAGAAGTAGAACACCTTGTCTGTCTCGACAGGTGGATCTGAACTCGACAACTACTACTGTGATTTACTGCTGGAAGTTAATCTACAGCTAGACGTAATATATTATTCACACAGGTATGATTTTTTGATTTTTGATTATCTACATGAGTATATACATTGTATGCGTGTTTGCGCTTGATGAACAGTTTTCTGCTTTTCTGTATTATTTTTTTCACAATTGTTTATAAATATTCTCTAGATAAAATACATAAATACCTGTCAATGTATATAAGTATTTTCCATGTCTTTTTATTAAAATCGTTTGTAGCATTTATTTATGTTTCTTAATTTACACTTTTAATATTAACCTATTTTCTATAATAAACACCCCGTTATAACTGAATTGTTATATTATTATCGCTAATGATGTGATACTGGTTTGTCCGAATACTTACAATATGTATGATATATATATATATATCATTCAGTTAATACATAACTACATAAATACTGATCCAACAATAAAGTAAACTTATGTGGCTAATTTGTGCCATTTCGTCCTTTCGTCGAGATTGAATGTTTTTTATTCTCCTCCTTTCGTCGTTTCGTTCCTGTACTTCTTAATCCACGTCATTTCATTTTCCTTTCGCACATTTGATATGGAAATGAACGAATTAACGAGACTTAAGAAGTGATAGCATCGTCTTCCGGGTCAAAAGGACGAAATGACTGCAATCAGTCAATAACCTTTACAACCAGATAAATGGGTATATGTTGGAATTATCCTTGTGGTTATTGGACATTTTCATCACACACATTGCAGACATACATTGTCCGAGATACATAAATGATAAAAGCAAAATAGTTATTGACAATTTTTTTCTTCTATAAAATCTGTAAATTAAACCCTAAGAATAAATAGTGTTTCGGTGACATTTATAAATTTACACATGTAGTCTTTTATAAACTGACATATTTTGATCAGCTTTAAATCCTTTAATGGAATTAATGTAGATGCAACCTCTAGAATTGTCTAAGAACGAGATTTATCTAAGTACTACTGTAGATTTATCTAAGTACTACTGTAGATTTATCTAAGTACTACTGAAGATTTATCGAAGTACTAGATTTATCTAAGTACTAGATTTATATAAGTACTAGATGTATCAAAGTACTACTGTAGAATTATCTAAGTACTAGATTTATCTAAGTACTAGATTTATATAAGTACTAGATGTATCTAAGTACTACTGTAGACTTATCTAAGGGTTTTTGAAGACCATGGCAATAAGGCCTCACACGAGATGAGTTTTCATATTTGTTCTGCTAGAGACAGAAATTCGACAGCGATGCATCCCATTTAGCTTTTGAATGTATTTCAAAGTCCAAAACCGTTTTGGCAGGCAAATATTCCCTGAATAATATCTCAGTGGCGTTACATCGAGTGTTCCAATAAGTCTATTTGTTCACATTAAATTCTCGTTGACAGTCAGCCTTTCTCCTTGATCAACCACAGGTTAATAATGTCCATGTGAAGTCAGATCTGGTGGTTAGAGACGCCTAGGTGATTCGGTGCCATATATCGAAACTCACAAGTAACAGACACGATGTATCGACTGTTGTTGTGATCCAAAGGTTTGAGAGAACAGCTAAGTTGTGTAATTGAACAGTCTGTAACAACATAGAAGGTATCGATAGACAGATTGATAATGTAAATTGAATAAAAAAAAGATATTGCATTCCATAACATACACATGGAGTTAATTGGTACTGACTTTTCGCCTGTAAACAAAGTTGGTGGTCTTGAAATAAACACTTAATAGTATTTTGTCGTTTGTATGGTGTTGAATTGCATTACTGTGAATAGAGTTGATGTTCTCAATTAAATAATACATAAGAAATAAACTTATCAAAGTCTACACTTCGTATTAAGTTTTCTGTGATGACTGATGTAGTCGTTTCAGATGTTTATACTTACAGATTCCTTTCCTCCTTCTCCATTAACGACTGACAAAAGGATCATGCTAAGGTATTCCGAGACGCTTGTTATAATGTTTAGAAATATATATATATGCAGAATAAATATTAACCACTGTTTGCTTGCCTACTGAAAAGCCAATTGCCATTTGGGTTGTATTTTGCTGCGCATTCCCTTGGTTTCACGAACGTTCATATGCGGTACTTTAGCAATATTTCCTCTGTCGCAGTTATACAAAGGTTTTAACCAACAGTGTTTTTTATGATTCGATATCATTTATTTGTCAAATGAAAAGTTGTCCTGATATTTTCACATTTACAAGTATTTTAACAATTCACCCTTCTGGTGGAGACCAATCTAATTGAAATAAGACATGTAACTCCGCTCCTCTACGATAGAATCTAATACCAGTATCGGGGTGTATCGTTTAGGAGTGGAAAAACAAGTCTATTTTTTTTTTAAATTGGGTGGCGATTGGGTAAAACCTGCTCCTAAATATCAGTAAGTATCTCCTGTACTTTCAGCAGATAGGTTGACAATGACATCACTTAATGAAACCCAGAGAAACTGGGGCAATGATACCAGTATTTGATATAATCTTTTATACGAGAACTATTTATATTTTATCAAAAACGTCTAGCAAATGTTTGACTTGTACAAGAATAGGCTGTTTATCTTTGTTCTTATTTGAGTTTTAACAATTGTCTCTGTGGAAGAAACCACAGATTCTGTTTGAGCTTATACAACAAAGTTTATCAGGAAAACGTGTTGTTTTCTTAGCGATTTAAATAACGATTAAACTGTTTATTATTGTTATGCTTTAACGAGGGCCTTTCCAGTGCAAATTCCCTCAAACAATCCCATAAAAGCCTGGGGCATAAATTCGAACCCCTCCGTGACTGTCTCCCGATGCTGGAGTTTCCCCTGTAAAGAAAAAGCTAAAGTCTTACATGGCTTCACAGACGCATCAGGAATTGATATGATTGAAAAAAACTCTTCAATTGTTTCGTTCTTAATTACATGTCTACCATTTAATTTGCAATTCGTAGAACTCTAGAACATATAGTTCCGAATGGATAATACTTCATCGTCAGTGGTATGTATCATATTTCCTAAACAACACAAAACAAAAACATACTTAAGTGCATCAACTGTACATTTCCTGACACGAGTACAGTGCTAAAGCGCAGTGGTCTTATATCCCTATGCTATTTTTATTATACGCCAATGACATGTAAGAAGCTATCAGAATTTTGAAAGTTAAGCATTGAACAATGGTTAATTAAACTTAACTCGAACAAGTGTAAATCCAGGGAAATAAAAAACAATAAGACATCATTAGCATCCTATCATGAACTGGGAGTAGTGACTGATAACGAACTGAACTTCTTTGTAGATGGTAGTACATGTGCAAAAATGATGACCGGATCAGAGGTGGAAAGACCCTAGCACGGCAATATATATGAAAAAATAATCCTAACTATGTCAAAATCTCAACATGACCTCAAAAGAAACATGAACAGAAGCCTATAAGCCTCCTTCGTATGCATTCTCCTCCCCATCGTTTATCTTACTGAATAGAAGTATCGCTCAATTTTACAGATGTTAATAATTCCTAACCAACGAAACTGATGTATTCCATCTTACCTGTTGTATCCAGCTGGCCAACTGAGCCTCTCCATCTCGCCATTTTGGATACGTGTCGTAGATAGAAAAGCCGGTTACACTCATACACTTTTTGAGGATATCTTCAAACAGATAAGGACCTGAAACAAAGAGAACTACCTTGTTGATAAAAATAAAAATAATAATTCGAGGTTCTTATATACCACTTTATCACAACCTTGTTCGTAGGTCGTCTGAAAGCGGTTCACAAATTATTATCCGTGGTTATAGGGCATTTGCAACCAGCCAATATATTTCTCAACTCCCTGGGGAGCATACAGCCGGGGCTGCCATTTCATTGCTCACAGCTGGCATTTAACAGTTCTAGCACTGCCCCACCACGTACTCATTTACAGCTGAGCAGACTGGAACAAGCGAAGTTAAGTATCTTGCTCAAGGATACAACACAGTGCTGTGACGTGACTCGAACCCGCAACCATTCGGTCACGAGGCTGGCGTCCTACCACTAGAATACCGTGCCTCCAACACACACATCAGTACATCTTCATGCTTCAGAGTTGTGTCTGTCTTGCCTTGCCTTGCTCGTAACACCCAAACAATGTATGTCATGGTTAATTAAATTTTGGTTAATATGATTATGATTTCAATCAATAACATGTTACCATTTAAAATGTTACTGACTGTGTTTATCTAGCATAATATTTATGAATTTTGCAAGGACATCAAAATTACATGGATGTCATGAAGGGGGAAATATGTCATAAGAAAGAGAAAAATGAAAGGGAATACGTATAGAAATACCTGTAGATTTCCCAATATCGTTGTAGGTTGCAATACTGCCGGCAATTAGCACACGTGCATTCCTGTGCATGTGCTGGAGCATCTGGGTACTTAAACATCCTCCGACCTGTAAAATCAAAACGTTGAATTGTACCGCCGAAAACAGGAACACAAATAATAATTAAAACAAATCTTCTTTTTTCTTGACAGAGACCTTTGAGATCGTTTTCAAGAATACCTTGAAACCACAACACTGGTCATTGCATGCGCAACACCACATACTTATAGAGACACAATTTATTACTATGTTTATCAGTCAGAAAATATATCATTGAATTATTTCCTCACTTGCATAACGTCGGTTTCCTTTTGAACAAAGCTGGTCTCTTTAGCACTAAACATTTCCCCCTTTACGCGTTAAATACAATGATATGTTAACGCAGGCTTAGAACTATTGACATATTGTTCACACCATACCAATAGGTTCGAAAGTCTTACATTGTCAAAGTAACAGTTGACACCACTGGGTGCTGCCATGGAGAGGGCCTCGTCAATGTCGACCTTTTTGTAATTGAAGGCATGGTCGAATCCAAGCTCCGTCAGCCATCGGACTTTATCGTCTGTCCCAGCGAACCCGATCACAGTACACCCCTGTGAAACAAGATACAAGTGGCTGGTATTCATAGTAGCAATTGTAATACATAAAGGCGTATCCGTTAAAAATAATGTTATAGAGAAAGGTTCAGTATAATTGGAAGTTAATTCAATAAGGCCACTGATAGGCCAGCAATGGCCACGCAATGTATCTGACTTTATACACCCCTGTATCCGCTGAGAGGCCACCGCGATCATTTTGAAATTCGACGTATTGGTTATAAACTGTTACACCTGTTTGTAATCCGACACATACTAGTTACAATCAAACATAAACAAAATCAGACCAGAAATACAGACATTTAGTTCTGAAAGTTCTCAGCCAATCAGAAGCCATTGAAACCATTTTGTTTTATAGAATCTGGTTAATACGTGTATGTTCTTTTCACAATGTTTACTATCCACTAAGCACCATGCAATCACCACCTACTATGATCAAAATCATATCAACAAAACAGAATTAATCCCAGCCAATTAGATGGAATGGATTTTGATCACCTTGGAGTTTAGACTAATCGAAATATGGCAATATCAAAAAAGAAATTTTGCCAAGAAACGCTTTACCGTTGAACTCAAATGAGAGACTTGGGTAAGTTTTACACCTGGCAAGTACAATACAAATCATAGTCTACCTTCTTTAGACTACTACGAAGAGAGCCATCTATCAATGCAAAGAGAACTCAGCAGCCACAAGAATTCGCCTATCTTAGACACAACTAAGATATTTGGGTATTACGACGCCAACTATTGCATTATGTTGTTTCACGTGCTGCATTGTAGTACTATAGATTCAAACTTAGCCTAAGTCACTGCAATACTCTACGTATATAGATAGTATGCGTAAAGAAGTAAATAAAAATATTATTTTAGATTGACTATTTGAAGAAAACAACGCACATGTAATCCATAATTTCATAATTCTCCAAAGTAGAGAGCATATATTCTTTGTGCAAAGTTCAACTACTAACTTTCATTTTTGCTAACTGTCCGACCACACTTCCCACGGCTCCGGCAGCCGAGTTCACGAGCACCGTCTCCCCTTCCATCGGCTTCAGCTTGTCCTCCAGACCGAACAGCGCCGTCAGTCTGAACATACGTTGTATACAAATTAACTCAAACTGATATAGAGAAAATTAAAATCAACTAATCGTGTACAATGTCTTCAATCTGTGACTAACAAATACATTTCAATCCTTATTCCAAAGTTTATTATGTTGAGACGCTTTCCCCGAACATAACATTAAGAATGCAGCCCCTGTATTTCCTTTCAAGCAGTATGCAATAACAATCACTTAGCACGTTATAAATCCAAGGTCTTCCGCTTACGAAATATATCCTCTACGTATCTCTGAAATCTACCGTGACATAATGAAAGGCCTGTGGAAAGCTATTCGATTGATTTTAGGTATAAAATTATTTCCAATCGCTTGGCTGACAACTGTCGTTTGAAGATAACAGAGGAGCGCCACACCCTACCTGAATGTCTGTCGATTTTACCGTTACGTTGCTGCGCGATTTAATTGATACTCATCAAAAATATCAGACTAGCCTACTTTTATCATTTGCGAGGTGTCTCGATTTGATTATGACATATTCTAGGGGTACAGATCTAGAGAAGATGTGTATTGTGAGAGAAACCATTTGATATTGAGGATGGGAAGAAGACGGCAGCGAGCGAACTTCCCGTTCTAGTATGTTTTCTCTTTGAGCTCTGTCGAACTTTTGTAACTTATTTTTTCTTTCTTTCGTAATATATATTTGGGAACCATGCCAATCGGTCTCTAGTTCCGTCACATACATTGTTGTTGCTTGTTTGTTTGAGTGGTTTTACATCCACTTCACTACCGAGTATGCCGACATGCATGGAACAGTCAACACATGATGACTTACCCGGTCACCCCTGCAGCCCCCAGGGCGAATGATAAGGGGAGATCACCTAGTTCAGGCATGGTGTCAATCTGTGTCACGTCTGTGACGAGGGTGTGTGACCGCCAGCCGGATGACAGGCGTATGACCTCACCGACAGCGTACTTTGGGTTCTTACTGGCGATAACTCTGAAATGGACAATCATATTTTCTAAATATACCAAAAATATATCAATTGAAGACTTAATTATGACTGAACTTAATGGAAGCCGTGTTAACTTGCCTGGCGATCTGTTCCCCCACAAGTGTATCTCCTGGTTTCATCATCACATTGCTCAAGAACCTGTAACATAACAAAATATTTAAAATGATACAGCATCGGCGTAACGATACTTTACATTGGTGAATAGCCGTGTTTAACGCATGCGTGCTCTTCAAAATGCGACCTCGTATTGCAATGTAAAAAACCGTGTCACTACGTCAAAGACGATATGCATGTCAAGTGAGGGAATATTTCGTGTACATGTGAATATCTCATTTTACAACAATTATTATACAAGTTCTGTAACCTTATACATGTATTAATCACCCTTATTGACCCGGATGTTAGCGCACAGGAAGAAACACCAAGTGATCGGGCAAGTGACTCCATACTTTTTCAGATCCTATCGGGGAATCGAACCCCGACCGTCTTGGTGAAAGGCAAGTGCGCTATCCATTATAAGCCCATCCGAATTCCACATCATCTGTTTTCGGTTTTAAACAGAGAGTATTGCAAACAGTATCTAGAAAACATATCCCAATCTAAAGTAACATTATAAATTAGAAAAAAATGAAAAAACGTGGTAGCAATTTATCTGTACGCGGATTTTTAGAAAGAAGATGAACGTTCTCACCTAATATAGGGATCCACAGATAGGTATAACGCCTCGCACAGCACCCCTGTAACATAAACGAGAGGAGAAAAATATCAAACTCATGATGGTTAACATGAGCAGGGGTCCTTCAAACAATGTTTGAACAGATTTTGACTAAAAACTCACATTTTTAGTAAGTTTGTCTTATTGTATACGTGTTTGCTTCAGAGTCTTTGCGTGTTATATTGGCACCCCTATACATCTAAAATTGATTTATAAAGATAATATTTCTCTCTCCCCCATGCATGATAATATTTATCCCTCCCTTCCCGGTCCCATCCTTTAATTGTTTTTTTCAGTGAATTGTATCAAAAGTAATTCCCGTTTCCATTGAAGTTATATCTGGAAATATTTCTAAAATATATCTGATAGTTATATAATTGATAGGCATCAGATACTCTTATAATGAGAATGTCAACGTATAATTTGAACAGACCTATTTGCAACTGATTTAAGTGTCATTTCAAGTGTTTCAGTAGTTTTGCTTTATCGGTGTCCAACTGTTGTAATCTTATTTCTGAACGTACACAAATTAAACACCGCTGTGTGTGTGCAGCCTGCTGTAAAGAGTCGTTCCCATGCATTTAACAGCTTGTAGCTGAGGAAGGATATGTATACAATGTAGGAACTTGTTTACTTTGAATTCATCTTTTTTAACTGAATGGAAAATTCAACAAAACAAATACAATTGGTATTTGTTTATCATGTGAATAATCAGAACATAATGACATCAAAAACTCAAGTAGCCTCGATGTTTAAAGATGTAGCAGATAAGGTATTTAAACCTCATTGGTTCACAGACACTAGTATATAGCCTCCTCATTATATGGATGTATTAACAGGAGATCTGGAGGCTAAAACAGTGTACTTGTGCCTGGTTCATAACGGATAAGGGAGATAACTCGTCAAAACTAGGCCAGAGTAATCCATGCGTTTCCATCCGCCTTCAAGTCAAATTTTAAGTGTAGCTTCACTTTGATATCATGTAAAGCTTACCTCCATCGTTGACCTCGTCTGGGATCGTTTCTTCTTCCAGGGAAAAGTCACTCTCCTTTGGTTTTCCCACAAACTGTTTCACCAACACCCACTTCTTAGCCGTTACCATTTTGTTAACCCTGCAGTATGGCTGAACTGGTATTTCCCTCCAAAAGGGGTAATTTATACCGAAGGAATTCATTGAGGCATGAAGGATACGTTACTGAATTTCGTTTTTTATCTTATTTTTAACTTTGAACGGACCGTTTACAATGGGGTCATACAGGATGTTTATATAAAGGGGGAAATGGGAAAAACAAATGCTCTGGAGGTCTTATATATTGCCACAGGTACTGGACACAGGGGTGGGGGGCAAGTCACCAGAAAAAAAGACAGTGCCAGCTATGCTAGAGTGTCACCCAAGTAATCAGGAAAAAAAGACAGTGCCAGCTATGTGACAGTGTCATCCTATTCATCTAGAAAAAACCAGTGCCAGCTATGCTAGTGTTACCCCAGTCATCAGGAAACCATACAGTGCCAGCTATTCTACAGTGTCACCCCAGTCATCAGGAAACCAGACAGTGCCAGCTATTCTACAGTGTCACCCCAGTTATCAGGAAAAAGACAGTGCCAGCTATTCTAGTTTTACCTCAGTCACCAGGAAACCAGACAGTGCCAGCTATGTGACAGTGTCACCCTATTTATCTAGAAAAAAGACAGAGCCAGCTATGTGAGTGTCATCCTATTCATCTAGAAAAAAGACAGAGCCAGCTATGCTGGTGTTACCTCAGTCACCAGGAAACCATACAGTGCCAGCTATTCTACAGTGTCACCCCAGTCACCAGGAAACCAGACAGTGCCAGCTATTCTACAGTGTCACCCCAGTTATCAGGAAAAAGACAGTGCCAGCTATGTGACAGTGTCACCCTATTTATCTAGAAAAAAGACAGAGCCAGCTATGTGAGTGTCATCCTATTCATCTAGAAAAAAGACAGAGCCAGCTATGCTGGTGTTACCTCAGTCACCAGGAAACCATACAGTGCCAGCTATTCTACAGTGTCACCCCAGTTATCAGGAAAAAGACAGTGCCAGCTATGTGACAGTGTCACCCTATTTATCTAGAAAAAAGACAGAGCCAGCTATGTGAGTGTCATCCTATTCATCTAGAAAAAAGACAGAGCCAGCTATGCTGGTGTTACCTCAGTCACCAGGAAACCAGACAGTGCCAGCTATTCTACAGTGTCATCCCAGTTATCAGGAAAAAAGACAGTGCCAGCTATGTGACAGTGTCACCCTATTCATCTAGAAAAAGACAGTGCCAGCTATTCTACAGTGTCATCCCAGTTATCAGGAAAAAAGACAGTGCCAGCTATGTGACAGTGTCACCCTATTCATCTAGAAAAAGACAGTGCCAGCTATTCTACAGTGTCGCCCCGGTTATCAGGAAAAAAGACAGTGCCAGCTATGTGACAGTGTCACCCTATTGATATAGAAAAAAGGCAGTGCCAGCTTTGCTAGCGTCACCCCAGTTATCAGGAGACCAGACAGTGCCAGCTATGTGACAGTGTCACCGTATTCATATAGCAAAAACAGTGCCAGGTATTCTAGTGTTACCCCAGTCATCAGGAAACCAGACAGTGCCAGCTATTCTACAGTGTCACCCCAGTTATCAGGAAAACAGACAGTGCCAGCTATGTGACAGTGTCACCCTATTCATCAAGAAAAATGACAGTGCCAGCTTTGCTACAGTGTCACGCCAGTTATCAGGAAACCAGACAGTGCCAGCTATGTGACAGTGTCACCCTATTAATCTAGAGAAATGACAGTGCCAGCTATGCTATAGTGTCACGCCAGTTATCAGGAAACCAGACAGTGCCAGCTATGTGACAGTGTCACCCTATTCATCTAGAAAAAAGACAGTGCCAGCTATGCTAGTGTCACCCTAGTCATCGGGAAAACAGACAGTGCCAGCTATGTGACAGTGGCACCCTATTCATATAGCAAAAACAGTGCCAGCTATTCTAGTGTTACCCCAGTCATCAGGAGACAGTGCCAGCTATGTGACAGTGTCACCCTATTAATCTAGAGAAATGACAGTGCCAGCTATGCTATAGTGTCACGCCAGCTATCAGGAAACCAGACAGTGCCAGCTATGTGACACTGTCACCCTATTCATCTAGAAAAAAGACAGTGCCAGCTATGCTAGTGTCACCCTAGTTATCGGGAAAACAGACAGTGCCAGCTATGTGCCAGTGTCACCCTATTCATCTAGAAAAAAACAGTGCCAGCTATTCTAGTGTTCCCCCAGTCACCAGGAAACCAGACAGTGCCAGCTAAGTGACAGTGTCACCCTATTCATCTAGAAACAACCAGTGCCAGCTATGCTCGTGTTACCCCAGTCACCAGGAAACCAGACAGTGCCAGCTATGTGCCAGTGTCACCCTATTCATCTAGAAAAAAATAGTGCCAGCTATTCTAGTGTTACCCCAGTTATCAGGAAACCAGACAGCGCCAGCTATTCTACAGTGTTACCCCAGTCATCAGGAAACCAGACAGTGCCAGCTATTCTACAGTGTCACCCCAGTTATCAGGAAAAAAAGACAGTGCCAGCTATGTGACAGTGTCACCCTATTCATCTAGAAACAAACAGTGCCAGTTATGCTAGTGTTACACCAGTCACCAGGAAACCAGACAGTGCCAGCTATGTGCCAGTGTCACCCTATTCATCTAGAAAAAAACAGTGCCAGCTATTCTAGTGTTACCCCAGTCACCAGGAAACCAGACAGTGCCAGCTATTCTAGTGTTACCCCAGTTATCAGGAAACCAGACAGCGCCAGCTATTCTACAGTGTCGCCCCAGTTATCAGGAAACCAGACAGTGCCAGCTAAGTGACAGTGTCACCCTATTCATCTAGAAAAAACAACAGTGCCAGCTATGCTAGTGTTACCCCAGTCATCAGGAAATAAGACAGTGCCAGTATGTGACAGTGTCACCCTATTCATCTAGAAACAAACAGTGCCAGTTATGCTAGTGTTACACCAGTCACCAGGAAACCAGACAGTGCCAGCTATGTGACACTGTCACCCTATTCATCTAGAAAAAAGACAGTGCCAGCTATGCTGGCGTCACCCTAGTCATCAGGAAAACAGACAGTGCCAGCTATGTGACATTGTCACCCTATTCATCTAGAAAAAAACAGTGCCAGCTATTCTAGTGTTACCCCAGTTATCAGGAAACCAGACAGCGCCAGCTATTCTACAGTGTCGCCCCAGTTATCAGGAAACCAGACAGTGCCAGCTAAGTGACAGTGTCACCCTATTCATCTAGAAACAACCAGTGCCAGCTATGCTCGTGTTACCCCAGTCACCAGGAAACCAGACAGTGCCAGCTAAGTGACAGTGTCACCCTATTCATCTAGAAAACCAGACAGTGCCAGCTATTCTACAGTGTCACCCCAGTTATCAGGAAAACAGACGCTGCCAGCTATGTGACAGTGTCACCCTATTCATATAGAAAAAAGACAGTGCCAGCTATGCTAGTGTCACCCTAGTTATCGGGAAAACAGACAGTGCCAGCTATGTGACAGTGGCACCCTATTCATATAGCAAAAACAGTGCCAGCTATTCTAGTGTTACCCCAGTTATCAGGAAACCAGACAGCGCCAGCTATTCTACAGTGTTACCCCAGTCATCAGGAAACCAGACAGTGCCAGCTATTCTAGTGTTACCCCAGTCATCAGGAAACCAAACAGTGCCTGCTATTCTACAGTGTCATCCCAGTTATCAGGAAAACAGACAGTGCCAGCTATGTGACAGTGTCACCCTATTCATCTAGAAAAAAACAGTGCCAGCTATTCTAGTGTTACCCCAGTCATCAGGAAACCAGACAGTGCCAGCTATTCTACAGTGTCACCCCAGTTATCAGGAAAACAGACAGTGCTAGCTATGACAGTGTCACCCTATTCATCTAGAAAAAAGACAGTGCCAGCTATTCTACAGTGACATCCCAGTTATCAGGAAACCAGACAGTGCCAGCTATGTGACAGTGTCCCCCTATTCATATAGCAAAAACAGTGCCAGCAATTCTAGTGTTACCCCAGTCATCAGGAATCCAGACAGTGCCAGCTATTCTACAGTGTCATCCCGGTTATCAGGAAAAAAGACAGTGCCAGCTATGTGACAGCGTCACCCCTAGAAAAAAGACAGTGCCAGCTATGCTGGCGTCACCCTAGTCATCAGGAAAACAGACAGAGCCAGCTATGTGACAGTGTCACCCTATTCATATAGCAAAAACAGTGCCAGCAATTCTAGTGTTACCCCAGTCATCAGGAATCCAGACAGTGCCAGCTATTCTACAGTGACATCCCAGTTATCAGGAAACCAGACAGTGCCAGCTATTCTACAGTGTCACCCCAGTTACCAGGAAAACAGACAGTGCCAGCTATGTGACAGTGTCACGCTATTCATCTAGAAAAAGACAGTGCCAGCTATTCTACAGTGTCACCCCGGTTATCAGGAAAAAAGACAGAGCCAGCTATGTGACAGTGTCACCCTATTCATATAGCAAAAACAGTGCCAGCTATTCTAGTGTTACCCAAGTCATCAGGAAACCAGACAGTGCCAGCTATTCTACAGTGTCACCCCGGTTATCAGGAAAAAAGACAGAGCCAGCTATGTGACAGTGTCACCCTATTCATCTAGAAAAAGACAGTGCCAGCTATTCTACAGTGACATCCCAGTTATCAGGAAACCAGACAGTGCCAGCTATGTGACAGTGTCACCCTATTCATCTAGAAAAAAACAGTGCCAGCTATTCTAGTGTTACCCCAGTCGTCAGGAAACCAGACAGCGCCAGCTATTCTACAGTGTCGCCCCAGTTATCAGGAAACCAGACAGTGCCAGCTATGTGACAGAGTCACCCTATTCATCTAGAAAAAAAGACAGTGCCAGCTATGCGACAGTGTCACCCTATTCATCTAGAAAAAAAGACAGTGCCAGCTATGCTACAGTGTCACGCCAGTTATCAGGAAACAAGAAAGTGCCAGCTATTCTAGTGTTACCCAAGTCATCAGGAAACCAGACAGTGCCAGCTATGTGACAGAGTCACCCTATTCATCTAGAAAAAAATAGTGCCAGCTATGCTAGTGTTACCCAAGTCATCAGGAAACCAGACAGTGCCAGCTATGTGACAGAGTCACCCTATTCATCTAGAAAAAAACCAGTGCCAGCTATGCTAGTGTTACCCAAGTCATCAGGAAACCAGACAGTGCCAGCTATGTGACAGAGTCACCCTATTCATCTAGAAAAAAAGACAGTGCCAGCTATGCTACAGTGTCACGCCAGTTATCAGGAAACCAGAAAGTGCCAGCTATTCTAGTGTTACCCAAGTCATCAGGAAACCAGACAGTGCCAGCTATGTGACAGTGTCCCCCTATTCATATAGCAAAAACAGTGCCAGCTACTCTAGTGTTACCCCAGTCATCAGGAAACCAGACAGTGCCAGCTATGTGACAGTGTCACCCTATTCATCTAGAAAAAAAGACAGTGCCAGCTATGCTACAGTGTCACGCCAGTTATCAGGAAAAAAGGCAGTGCCAGCTATGTAAGTATTACCCCAGGCATCAGGAAAAAAGACAATCAAGAGTTTTAGCTTTTGTGAGAAGACAAATTTATTTAATTAAGTTGAATTGAAATAAAAACAGGAAAAATCCAATTTCATCAAAAACATAAATCTCAGTGTGTGTGAGATTCAAGCTAATTACATTAACATAAACATTGACATATTAATTGATTGCAAACTTTATTGGACGGATATACGTTCTTCATACTATGCATGTACACACTAACATCCTCGAGAAAGTCCAAGAGCTACCCAGTCACTTAGGTTTCTGCACCCCTGGAATATGTCATGACCAAATCACTGCAGGCTCGGTATGCACCACCTTGTGGATGATACAAGCAGACTTGGCTGATGCTTTGATGTACATCAAAAGAATTACGGGGAAGTGTAACGGTAAAATTGACTAGCCGGTGGCGCTCCTCTGTCATCATCAGGTGTTTTTTTTTTATCCAAAACCAGTCAAATAGCTAATCCACTGCCTTCAATTCTGTCATGGCATATTCCTGGGGAGCAGAGAATGTAAGTGAGCGTAGCCCCTGGAATGTCAAGGATAACAAACTTACTACAATAAACAAAAAATAAATAACTGACAAATTATTTCAATTGTGCATGTAAAAGACAAATAGTATAATGTCAGTGCTAAAGATATCTAATTTCTGATCCCACAAAAATACTGATATGTTCAAAGTTGAAGTGTCAAGCACTGATACATGTCTGGGTCAAAGCACCAAAAACGTGGCATAACTTACACTGTAATTTATTACACAAAAATATACACCTTATCACAGCTATTTGCATAAATTGCGATCTATGTATTTCAGAAATAGAATAGCCAACTTTCAGTGTTATTAATGACTTTAGAGTTTTTCATAAGGTCATGCAGTTTCTGAATAGTAAAACCTGTAAGTTTTATATAAAAAGGAGGCATTTACATTCACAAGTTATCACTGTATTCTGCCACTTACAATAAAAAGTAATATCATGTTTCATATTTTCATTGTTTTCTATTTTTTTTGAGGTTTCTTTTGCAGAATAGTTTCATTTCCTGACAAGTAATCAAATTTACATATTCAAACAACTATATATGCCACTTGAATATCAATTTCGATAAAATGTACCAGTATTCATTATTGCTAGGAATTGAATTTTCTTTTTTCTTTTATTTTGTCGGTTCTTTTCAGGAACAATTTTTGGGATTTTGTAACAAAAAAGTATATAAATCTCTGCCATCATTAGAAGGTCACACCTTTGCATCATAGCTCTAGATCTGATAGTGACATTTTTATATACATCTCTACAGTAGAAAAATGCATGCCATATTATCTTCAATGGAGATGCTGTCTGAATAGGTCAACACAGTTGGCATTAATTTTTGTCACGTACATGTCTTCATCAGTTAATTGGTAACTCAGAGTTCATTTTAGAAACAAAAAACATGTACATTGTACTAAAAGTATAAATAAAAATCCATATGGTGAAATATTACAACAAACTGAAGTCTATACTAAACAGAAATGATATATCATCAGCAGACTAAATTCAGAATTTAGCTAAGACTAATCTAACAAATTAGTTAAAAGGACTAGGAGCGTTAAGGGTTATTTCCGGCCTCATCGGGGATTTAGAAATTAGTTGTTATATTTGTAATCTGGAATAAATGAAGTATGCAAATATTAAATTTCAAATTCATTCTATAACTGGTTTAGGAGATTTGGCATTACAAAATGAGACATAAACCCGCATTTTCGTAATAAAATGCATTATTATCATCTATTGTGTGCTATTTGGTTGAAAATTGGCCATTTTGAAGGAAATTAACTAAACACTCTTCAATTTTCGAAAGCCTCCACATGCAACAAACATATAAATATTTGACATGCTTTCGTAGAAAGGACTTTTTGTTTGTCACATGCGGAGGCTTTCATTTCTGCATGCTAACTGTCCAAAAAAACCATAATTTTGCTATTTCTGTATAGCAACACAATTTTGTTGCTACGGTAGGACGCATTGGAAAACATCTCCACCAAGAAAGACAGCCCAATTAACCAATATGATGTTTAAAACAGAAACTGGTAAATAAATTAAAATTTAATGTTTTACTTTTTATGAGGCCAAAAATGACCCATACCCTAAGTCCTTTGTACATAAAACACATTCTTAAAAAAAAATCACACGTTTCTGTGAATTGTCGACAATTGACTTGTGCACAAATATGCATGTTTGTAATCAAAATGGCAGAAAAACTCATCTTACATCTATAAACTTACAAAGTTATTTTTATCTATTCTTCTGTACAAAAAAAATAATCTTTTGTAATTTTATTTTATTTCTTCGTCTAGTTTCTAATATATTATAATTAGCAAGCATAACATTCCATATCAAAATGAAATCTAATTTTATCATGTTTATGGTCTGTGATTATTTTGTATTTATACTTACACTTTTATTTTTAATGCTATCATTAAAGACTAACTTAATATAAAACAATTCTATAATTTTTAGATCAATATCTTAAAATTGCAGACACTTTTATTGGCAGTTATGATAGAGTTATGTCAATGTAAACGTATATTGTATGTACATAACTCATATCACATATAAACTATATTTTTGTACAACCGTTTGCACTTTTTTTTCTCTGATGTACATTTATCTGAAATACATGATGAGAAAAAAAATCAATGAAAATATAACGAGATGAATACTTATATTAATTAATTATGTATAACACACAATGAAAATATAACGAGATGAATACTTATATTAATTAATTATGTATAACACAGATTTACTAATGAAACATGCATAATTACAGGCCAAAAAATCTCAAAAAAAATGAAGTTACTGTCAAATGAGACGACATTTACATAGTGTAGTTATGAACAAGACACAAGTGATTTCAAGTCCTTTGAGTAATTTTAAGTCTCCAATTAAATAGTAACAAAAGACATCCTCAGTGGTTTCATATCTTTTCACCACTCACTCTCCTTTGAAAAACATATATGATAATTAAATTATTAAAAAAATATTCTAATCAACTAACATTTACAAAGGGGAAACATCATCTCCTTGGACTCTGGGTATTGACTTATATAACAAGACAAAATATAAATAAGCATTCGTCAAGTCAGAATAATTACTAACTCGACACATAAATGGCCCTCACACAGAAAGCATCATTCACAGAAAACAATCAAGGTTATTGCCATCAATAGACCATTGGCAAGCTTAAGTAACAGCTGGTAAATTCATTGACGGTTTATTTAACAACGTCTTAACTATATGCATTACCTAGAAAAATGTAATAACAAGTTTATCAACATGTCATAACAATATATACCCTAGTAATGGGTCATTCAACGTGTCATAACTATATATACTCTACCATTCAACATGTCATAACTATATATATACCCTACCATTCAACATGTCATAACTATATATATACCCTACCATTCAACATGTCATAACTATATATACCCTACCATTCAACATGTCATAACTATATATATACCCTACCATTCAACGTGTCATAACTATATATACCCTACCATTCAACATGTCATAACAATGTATACCCTAGTAATGGGTCATTCAACGTGTCATAACTATATATACCCTACCATTCAACATGTCATAACAATGTATACCCTAGTAATGGGTAATTCAACATGTCATAACTATATATACCCTACCATTCAACATGTCATAACAATATATACCCTAGTAATGGGTAATTCAACATGTCATAACTATATATATACCCTACCATTCAACATGTCATAACAATGTATACCCTAGTAATGGGTTATTCAAGATGTCATAACTATATATACCCTACCATTCAACATGTCATAACAATATATACCCTAGTAATGGGTAATTCAACATGTCATAACTATATATACATTACCATTCAACATGTCATAACATATACCCTAGTAATGGGTAATTCAACATGTCATAACAACATATAACCTACCATTCAACATGTAATAAGTATATATACCCTACCATTCAAAAAAATGTCATTACAATATGTATACCTCATGTTCAATTCATTACTAATGTTATTTAACATGTCATATATTATATGAGGTCATACTTTTTACTTTGATATTCTTGGGAAAATGGTTGTTCAAAGTTACCGAAGGGTTGTTGTATGTCTTAACAAATATATTCAGTGTTTTTCCATTGTTCATAATGTGTTTTAATCTCAGAACAAGTTATTTTTGTTTTATTATAATTCATTATATCGTAACACATGACTGACAGCTAGATATACAGCATTAGTATAAAATGAACAGCAACATCAAGTGTCATAAATTGAACTCATCTCAGACCTGTCGTATCTACATATAAATGTACTATATTTATACTGCAATTTGCCCAGGGGGGAAGGGAAAAAACCGTGACTAAAATGAGGGGGCTTGGCCTTATTAAAGAACCATTAATCAGCCTTTGTTAGAAGTTCTACTGAACAGTTATAGATATGGATGGGCTTAATACCAGGCATGGGCTTATTGTCAGAAAAAATAAAATAATGGCGATACCATAATAAAATCTTCCGAAGTTTTCTCAGCAATATACCTTTCTCTGTCTCATTAATTATATTAAGCAGATTTTAACTTTTTACCTTGAACATATATTGTTTCAAAGTTTCCTATTATAATAATTTCCAAAGCAAAGTGTTGCATGGCCATTACACTAATCATCTAACTCCAAGTACAAGCTGGAATCCATTCTACTCATTTAAAATTAATAAGTAAACATATAAATGTTTACTTTTTTCAACTTTTTCTTTTATGTCATGACAAGAATTTCAGTTTCAGCATCAGGAAAACAGGCTTTTAGTTGTCGACACTACATTGTACTTCTGAGGGCTCCGTTTATATTAACTGAAATTGAACGTTGATGTATCAAAAGCTAGATATTAAATCATTGCAGCAGCAAGCCACGAATGTCTGCATGCATGTCCATCCCCCAATCGTTAAGAAGTGAAAATATTTCTTCCCCTTTTGCAAAGTGATGATAAAATACATAAGTGATGAAATTCAGTATGTACGACAATATAACGTGATGCACAGTTTGGTACCTGTACTTATCTGTCAATAAGCCCATGCCCGGTGATAAGCCCACCCTATCAACTGCAGTTCAGTAGAAATGTGAAGAAATGCTCAAAGTTCATCGTCCCTTAATAAGCCTGTCCTCTATTTCAAGTCAGGGATGATGAGTTTACCCTCTGGGCTTACTGCAGAATAAATACAGTATCTTCGACATTCATTTGTTATTAGCTTATCTTTTGAATATTTGTAATCACTTGTTTTGGTAAACATATGCACTGTCTTCATAATAAGTAAATGCATGCAGTTAAATACATATAACTATTTTTTATTTATTTCTGGCAGTGAAAATAAATTGGAATTTCCGCACAACATATAAATATAGTTTAAATATTCAAAAAATATTTTGGTTAATTGTAATTTAAACATTTCGAATGGAAAAGATTATGTTTCATATAATGTTGGTCCCAAGTGAAAAAATAAAAAATGCAATCTTTGTAATACAATAACATGATTATGTTTGTATTTCCTAAATGAATCAATTTCAGTGATCTTTTTCAGTAATAAACATATACAAAAATGTAATTAAGACAAAAAACGGATTGTCAACCCAAATTATAATGGACCTTGCTAATTAATGACTGTTGATATCATTCTATGTTGTGATACATATTAATGATTTACTGTTACTTAAATTTAACTCGTTTTTTTACTTAGAATACACAATTCCTGTGTATATTATTTTGATACAATTATCAGAATGACTGGTTTACTAAAGAAATGTTTGTTTTTTTGCTTGACTTCCTGATGTATATGCGCCGCACTTCCATTAAGAATGTATCTCGTACATTGCATCACCCAGATGTTTGAATGCTTGTATGTTGTGCATGATGATAACATAGACATTTTTATAGTCCAACACAAGTCAAGAAATTTGAGCAGTCCAACAACATTTCACAAAAATATGTATAATGATGTGTTTATACATTTTCATGTAAAACTATGTTCATATATTTTTTATGAAAAACAACAACATTTCCATGTCTGAAAAAAACCCACCAATATTAACAGCGTAGGTATCAAGATATATTTTGTATATTTATAACAAATTGAGATCCCAAGTTCATGCAGAAATATAAAATTGACTTAAATTTTCTTTTAAATGCTGTTTTGTTATTTTTATTTTCTATTATTAATTGGACTAGGGATATCAATATTAAACATAACCTTATAAAAAAATCACTGCTTTCTATCTGTCAAATGAAAATGAGTAATTAAATATCAACATCAATATTAATTTAAATCATGAAAACAAAAACAAATTGGCTACACATGAAATTATGAAATGTTTTGATTTTCTTGAATAACAAACATATTCTACAATGATGTTGAAATATTTTAAAGTAAAACAAGCGACATGTATGTCAGAAATTAAGAACTAATTCTAATGAAGGAGTGACTGTTGGAGAAACTTAATGCCCTCCAGTGAAATCTGTGTATATACTGACGATGTAAACCAGGTCATGGAGCCAGGTATTAAACAGACATAAATTAAGGTAAAGAGTACCCCTACACTGGTTATTATCACAAAGAAGAGTTCCAGAATGAATTTTTTTTGACTTGGAGTATGCTCTCCTCTATAAAATGAAGCAACCAAAATGAGTTTTTTTAGGCCGAGAGTAACTTCCCCTGTCAAGATTTTCATATGCTTTATTGTCCATAAATTGGTTATTCATCTTGATGCTGTGCTTGTATAACTCCTGTTATAGTAAAGTATAGGCTTTTTAGATTCTGAGTTCCACCCCCTGCAGAATTTGTGTTTTCTTTTTTTATTTCTTTTTTCAAACATTCAAATTTCGAACAACCACAATTCCGTTAAATGCATGGAAACATGTGATTCTTAGGAATATTTGTTTTGAAAAGGTCTTAAACGAATATTTCACAATTGTGGCAGTGGTAATAATATAGTACAACTTGTTGGTACCCTTTACTTTAAATGTCCTATTGTGCGATCTGCATTACCATTATAATGTAACAGATCAGAGGTCAGTATTTGTTCATTGCCTCCGCTAGGAATCGAACCAAGGACCTCTGGCTTACTAGTCTTATGCTCTACCAAGAGCTTAAGAGAAATTCTACCTAGCTGAGTTGGTAGGAAGCGGCTAGTACATTACGTATTTTACCAGGGTGACAATAGCAATGACAACAGCAATGTTAATTAGTCCAATAAGTGACACAGAGGGGTAACAATTTATATCCAACAACAGTCACAAAACACATTATTGCTTATCTTAAGGACCTAACAACAATTTGTATTATTTTCCACTGCGACCTTTAGAAGGCTGGTTTTCTGTTGATCTTACAAACTCTTGTAGTTTCTTGAAGAAGTCTGTGAGATCCCTGGCAGTGGAAGGTCTCATGTCCATCCAGTGGTCCCGATCATTCTCCCGGTCGTCGTTACTGTCGCGCGTCGCCATGGCCCAACTCTCCGTTGAACTCATCGGGTCGGTAGTTGTCGTCACCCATTGCTGTGTGAGATAGGACAGTAGTTTCTCGTAGATCTTAGCCTCGACATCCTCACTGACTGGTCGAAGTTTCTCTATCACCTTCACCATGTATAGAATGGTGTTTCGGGGCCCCTGGTACAAAAGTAACATAAAATAATTGTCACTGACCAACGGCAGAAAATGATACTGTGTTGACATTAAAAAACATAATGTGCTATATTGAGTGATCTCCACAACACTTTAAAGCCTGTGTACCATGTGTGGTCTTTAACAGGATTTAAGGCCAAAATTAGTTCAACTGTAAATGGGCTGTACAAATCTCCAATTGGAGAACTTACTACTATTTTAGTTAAATGTGAAAGGTTTAATTTTATTCCCAAAAGAAATCACTCCAGTTTCCAACAACAGACAGAAATATAGCACACAGATCTCTTATTTCATCTCAGGATTAAACATCTGATCTCATATACACACTAAAGAAATAAAAATTTGAAGTGATGCTTACCTAACATCTTATATATAGTAAAGAACATTGTTGTTAAAGTAATATACCTAAATGTATCAAAATGTTGGTGAAATGTCTGTCAATGGTGAGATGTATACATGTATCAGTCAATGGTGAAATGTCTGTCAATGGTGAAATGTCTATCAATGATGAAATATCTATCAATGGTGAGATGTCTGTCAATGGTGAGATGTCAGCTGTCAATGGTGAAATGTGTATCAATGCTGAAATGTCAATGTTACCAGTTGACCTTGTATCATTGTCATGTATTACTGTATACAATTTTAGAGGTTTGAATAAATACCTCAGCACTCAAATGTATAGCTCTCAAATTTTTCAACCACAAATTCCAAATTTGGATGAATACTGTAACGCATCATACCTTCTCCAGTTTCTGCAGCCCTGTTTCAGGGTCACCTTTATAAGGTAGCATGCTTTTGAGATCCTGCATTCTTAGGACAGGTTCCTATCAATACAAGTTACATTGTTACATATTGTACCATTTAATAAATTTTACAGGAACGAAATTCTCAGGCTTAAAAAGTCACTAAATTTGTAATAATTATATCAAGATGATATATATCATAGATTTTATTTACCGGTATATTTCAGTGTTAAGACTTAGAAAATGATTTTGTAATATTTTTCTGTTATACGGACTGTCAGACAATGATGCATTCACCCTCTATATTTTTTACAATTACTCAAACGGATACATTTGCAAGAAATGTAATATATCTGATAGCTAAGAATTCCTCAGGGAATAAAAAAGTATCTAAATCTTGAAAAAGGATATAATTGCCCTTTGCACCCTAAAATCAAACCCATCTATTCACACTTTATGAATTACCAGGGTTTGTGTCTGCAGATTTTTCTAGCTGTTCGTGTCACATACCTTTAGCTGGTCCAGCCATTCCCACAAGATGAGGGAGACAACTCCGGGATCTGTTTCTTGAGAAAGCTCAGCCCATGCATTATCTTTTTCGTTAAGGTCCGTCTGTTGTAAAAAAAACATTTACTTAATCTGACCTCAGTTTCCCAAATGTATTTAAAAATATCTTTTTATAGTCAACAGGATTTTTTTTCAATGTTCCTAGAAAGAACACTTGGAAATTCAATATTAAGTCTAAAAGAATTACATGTAAATTTTCCTCTGCAAAAAGAATAAAATAAACATGAGTCACAGAAATATCCCTACCTCGTGTTTATCAGCCTTGGTGTACACCTCTGCTGAGTAGGAGGTAGCACCTAGTTCCGCGGCTACATCACCAGGGGTGTATTTCCTTCTAGAGTTAGCCGATTTGGACTTGGAGACCTCTTCCCCCTGGTCCCCGTCCAGACTCGTGTCTGGGGATAGGTTTCTCGAGCTGGTGTCAGACAGATTGTCACAAGGCACTTGCAATGACTTCAGTTTTTCATCTTTCAGATCCTCCATTGTGAGACTCCTGGTTCTCTCGAGAGGGGACTTAACCTTCTGTGGCATAATGTTCTTCGTAGATGATGTGGCCAGTTCATCTAGTGACGACTGGGACTCGTTACGCGGAAGTCCTGCCACTACCTCTTCTTCTTCTGGAATGTCTTTTAAGTGTTCCTTCTGAACTTCATTCTCACTAGATTTTATAAATCTTGATAAAGAATTTCCTAGCTGTGCTAGTTCTAATAATCTCTCACACGAAATATATATTATCTGTAAAAAAAATGCAGAAATAATTTAAAATAAGTCGTCAACAAACATAATATAAATCTTATCACACTAAAACATCAATAAAAGAAATATTTTCTATGGAATACTACATGATATTTCTTATGAAATAGTTTTTTTAATCACCTGTGAGTTCAAGAAACTCCTTGGTCCTGACATTTTTGTTTCAAAACACAAAATTGTCATTGAATTGTATACGAAATGTGAAATTCCCTGTATTTTGTGTATCATTTAGAGACTATTCTCTCTATCATACACAGTAATTAGCTAACCTGGATCAAAGGCTTGGCTTTTGAAGACAACTAATAAACGGAACTTATAGCAACTTTTTCCTTCCTTACAATAGCACTTAGTACCAAGGGGCATCGAGTCCTGAACCCACAAAAAAATATTTTTTGTAAAACTGACCATTTTTAGCAAATCTGCAAGGAGTCTCAAAAACAAAACAAAACAACTTGACATTAACAAAAGTGTTAGAGAAAACTAATTCCTAGAAAGAAAAAAGATGGTTAGAGTCTACAAATGGCCATAGTTCTATAGTATGGAATGGTACTCACTGCATTCAAAATCAGAAACAAAAATAGCATGTGATGATTTACATGGAATTGAAAAATATTCAGCAATAATTTTTAAACAGATCATCTCATTAATCTTATTTTATTATGAATATGCTGTGGATAATCAGGTGGTATTTACAACATCTGTTTCCTTTTAATAAGGTACATGTAAGAAAGGTATAAAATAACTTACCTTTGGCACAAATTTCAATTTCCTAGCCTCATAACCATGTAAAACATGTTTCTGTCTATTCAAATAGTGTATTAGTGTAAATTCATGTGTGTCCTTAGCTCTGAAACAAATTAAATGTCATGATCAGCAAGTACAGTATACACTATGTCCATATTTTATCTTCTGAACTTCCTATTTAATGCCAACAATCATGTTAGAAATAGTTCAAAACTAATGAGTTGACCAAGATAAGTAATCGCTACAAGTGTTAAGTTTCTGATATGTCAATTACAAAAAAAATAAAATTAATGTTATGACTATCAAAAGTGTTGATATTTGTAAAAAGTAAAGTTTCTTAGCTGATGATGCCAGAAAAAAAAATCCTCTAAAAGAGGTGACTGTGCTGAAATACATTGTGTACTCGAAATCTGTTTTCTAGGACAATGGAAATTGCAATATTCCTCATTGGTTCATAATTATTGTTTCAATTCATAATGAATGCTTAATATACGAATATCTGGATAAATTACTGGATATACATATATACACTTACTTTGAAGCAAAAACAATTCTAAATGGCTTTAGATAGGCTTCAAACTCCTGTATGATTTCCATTTGTCCTCGTGTTTGTATTGAATGTGGTCTGAAAGAAAACAAAAAAGACAATATTTAGGGCAAAAAATTATATTGTAAAACAAAATAAAGGAAAAAAATCAAAGTAAAGAAAACAAGAGATCCCAGAGGGATCTTGGCGCCCACCATTGTACCAACCTCATTGGTTTATGTCAGTTTGATCTTTTCTCTTATTTTCTCTTATCTGTTTGATCAAGTCATGTAAACAGTACATGCACTGTTTCATGCATTTACTAGTAGAGTTCTGTTAATGTAAGAGAAATAGATCCGATCATTACAATATCAGAAACATCTCATTAGTGCTTCCTGTGGCCATCTTGTTTTATGATCACCCTCCAAAGTAATCATGCACAACAACAGACCAAGGGGAAGCTACATATCAAATTTGAGAAAGATCCCTCCAGAACTTCCTGAGAAATAGCGATAACAAACATTCACTGTCAAAATCCAAGATGGCCACCTGTCAGCCATTTTGCTTATTCCATCAATCTCAAAAATAAAAAAAAATGCACAATATCAGACCAAGGAGAACCTACACACAAAATTTGAGAAAGATCCCTCCAGAGTTCCTGAGAAAAAGCAATAACAAACATTAACTGTCAAAATTCAAGATAATGATTAGGTCGTCGGGTGGTGCAGTAGATAGCGCACTTGCCTTTCACCAAGGTGGCCGGGATTCGATTCCCGGATCGGAAGGAAATATCCAGGCCAACAAGAGTGATTAATATAAGTTAACATAATTAACTTGTTTCATAATTGTTGTAAAATAAATAAAGTTTATATAAATTCAAGATGGCCACCTGTTGGCCATTTTGTTTACACGATCAGTCTCAAAAGTAAACATGTACAACCACAGACCAAGGGAAACCTTCATATCAAATTTAAGAAAGATATCCCTCCTGTACTTTCTGAGAAATAGCGATAACAATAATTGATTAAGGATGGATGACAGATGACGGACAACTGACGAAGGGTGATTTGAAAAGCCCACCATCAGATGATGGTGGGCTAAAAATGTCAGAAAACTTTGACATTTGATAAAATAAATGAAAGAGTGAACTGTACACATGCAGAGATTACAATCATTCCTTACCTCTGAGATCTGACGTAGTGGATGGCAAGGTTACCTGAGATTACAATCGTTCCGTACCTCTGAGATCTGGCGTAGTGGATGGCAGTGTTACCGGAGATTACAATCATTCCTTTCCTCTGAGATCTGACGTAGTGGATGGCAGTGTTACCTGAGATTACAATCATTCCTTACCTCTGAGATCTGACGTAGTGGATGGCAAGGTTACCGGAGATTACAATCATTCCTTACCTCTGAGATCTGACGTAGTGGATGGCAATGTTACCGGAGATTACAATCATTCCTTACCTCTGAGATCTGACATAGTGGATGGCAAGGTTACCGGAGATTACAATCATTCCTTGCCTCTGAGATCTGACATAGTGGATGGCAAGGTTACCGGAGATTACAATCATTCCTTACCTCTGGGATCTGACGTAGTGGATAGCAAGGTTACCGGAGATTACAATCATTCCTTACCTCTGAGATCTGACATAGTGGATGGCAAGGTTACCGGAGATTCTGTTAGTGAAGACCAGGTAGGTAGCGATCATTACCCCTGTACGTCCTGTCAACCAACAACAGCAGTTACTCAGTAAGCAGATATATATATATAAAATGGTGGGCATAATTGTTTTCTTTCTGCATGAAATGCTATTCGAAAGACTATAGAACTGTAAGCCTAGTATTGGAGGGACTATAGAACTGTAAGCCTATTCGTTGGACTATAGAACTGTAAGCCTATTTGAGGGACTATAGAACTGTAGGCCTAGTATTCGAGGGACTATAGAACTGTAAGCCTATTTGAGGGACTATAGAACTGTAAGCCTAGTATTCGAGGGACTATAGAACTGTATGCCTAGATTTCGAGGGACTATAGAACTGTAAGCCTATTTGAGGGACTATAGAACTGTAAGCCTATTCGAAGGACAATAGAACTGTAAGCCTATTTGAGGGACTATAGAACTGTAAGCCTATTCGTTGGACTATAGAACTGTAAGCCTATTTGAGGGACTATAGAACTGTAAGCCTAGTATTCGAGGGACTATAGAACTGTAAGCCTATTCGAGGGACTATAGAACTGTAAGCCTAGTATTCGAGAGACTATAGAACTGTATAAGCCTAGTATTCGAGGGACTATAGAACTGTATGCCTAGATTTCGAGGGACTATATAACTGTAAGCCTATTTGAGGGACTATAGAACTGTAAGCCTATTTGAGGAACTATAGAACTGTAAGCCTATTCGAGGGGACTATAGAACTGTAGGCCTAGTATTTGAGGGGATATAGAACTGTAAGCCTATTCGAGGGACTAACTGTAAACCTATTCGAGGGACTATAGAACTGTAAGCCTATTCGAGGGACTATAGAACTGTAAGCCTAGTATTCGAGGGACTATAGAACTGTAAGCCTAGGATTCGAGGGACTATAGAACTGTAAGCCTAGTATTCGAGGGACTATAGAACTGTAAGCCTAGTACTCGAGGGACTATAGAACTGTAAGATAATGCTGTACTATTTTTTTATTAAACACCCCCTATACTGTTGGTAATGCCAAGGAATATGGCAGAGTAAATAAAATTGTTTCACTGGAAATATCTTTTTTAAAAACAAGTGTTGAAAGATATATACAATAGATATAAATGAAATCCTATATTTCATTTTGCAGTCACTGAATCATAATATTTTTAATTCTATTTTAGGCATGAAGACTTCTAAAATTCTCTAGTATTACAAGTGACTTCACATCCATTTTTTTTGTTTCTTTTCTGAAAGAAATTGATGAAAATTACATACCTAGACCAGCATGACAGTGGACAGCGACCTTGCCCTCTGATACAGCAAACTGCATGACCTTCACCATGTCAAGTATAGAGCTGAGCGACCCCACACCATAATCTGGCCTGGAGGTGTAACAAAATATTAAATTAATTACCATGACTTCAACAACAAATATAGCTAGGACATAATGAATTATTTCGTTACCTACAGACATATACTTCTGCTAATAATTCCAAGAAACAACATGCAAATAAGGGCAACTGATGCATAAATCCTCGAAACATTGCTTGCCTTGGTAAACATTTGTTTTGCTGATTACAAAGAAAATGTGACACACATGTACTTTTGCAGGAGCAACAGCTGTGGTATTTGTGCACTATACAATGTCTTTGTTATCTATACTAGGTGTATTCAGTTTCGTAAAGATATTTTTAATACTTTAAAACTATGCTCTGAACAATGCAAGCTAGGAAGAGTGACAAAATATTTTCTTTATAAAAAGGGGAGATTACTCACTATCAAGAGAAATAGTTGTGGTTGCTGCATAAACACCTGAATGTCTTATCAGATAAACAAATTTTCATAAAGTCATCTTGCATACATCAAACTGATGCTGCGAAAAAGGACGTACATGCAAATGATTATGTTTCTATTACAGAAAGGGGAATAACTCTATATCCCTTCTTTGCCTGAATGCTACCGTATTTGTGTACCAAGTTCCCTAATCATAATGTATTTTTGTATATTGTTAAAATTATGTTTCAAACAAAAAACTGTGACAGGCAGACAGACATGAAGACATAGCAGTCAATGAGAGTATTGGATCCTACAATTTATTTCAGGGAAACAGTCTAGTTCTAACTGCGGTATACATACATGTACTATGACTCCTATTTAAGTTTGTCAAATGTTTTACCTAAGGAACCTAAATGAAGTTTAAATTATTTCTTCACTCATTTGCTATTAATTTAAATATTTTACTGATCATTTTTGTGTATTAATATTTTAATATAAGCTTACTTACCAGCAAAAGTTGTAGAAGTAAACTAAAAATACAAAAAAAAAAAATATACAGATTAGTAACAGCTTGCATATTACTTGTTATATCTATAAATGATGGTCATTTATATTGGATTCTAAAAATTATCAAGTCAATCGTTTAGAACCAACCCTTTTCCAAAAGTTAAGACAAAGGAACAAAATACAAATGAGCTGTCCAAACTATTAAGTTGGCTTAGAAAACAAAGCTTTGAGATTTTCCTGGTAACAACATGGTTTAACATAACTATGGATATGTACAGTTTAACATTTCTCTAGAATATGCCATTAAATCTAAACAAGTGGTGGGTTTATTCTCAGACTTACAATGTACCAGGTAACCTATTATAAGAGATCTATATATTTTTACTTGGGAAAACACATATTAACAAGAGGCCCAGAGGGTCTGTATCGCTCACCTGGAAATGTTTAAAGTACGTGATATGAAAAATAAAAATATAGCACACCTTGGTAGGTACTGTATGTACATAAGAAATTTCAGAACGATCCATCCAGTATTTCTGGAGATATAGCAAAAACAAACTTCAAATGTCAAAATCCAAGATGGCGGCCTAGTGGCCATCCTATTTTAATGAATAAACCCTAATAGTAACAGGCAATGCTAGACAACTTGGTGGAGACAAAATTGGGATAAAATCTCTGAATCCCTAGGGTAGTAGAAAGATTTCAAAGGTTTTACCTCTATTTCCCCTATTTAGCCTCTGTCTTCTGCCCCTAGGGGGGGCTACACCCATCTTTCATACAAAATTGAGTCCCCTTGGCCTAAGGATTCGCAGACCGAATTAGGATGAAATACCTTAATCCCAATGGTAGAAGAAGGATTTTAAACATTTAATTACCTCTATTTCCCCTATTCGGACCCATCTCTCTGCCCCTAGAGGGGCCACACCCACCGTTTATACAAAATTAAGTCCCCATGGTCCAAGGATGCTTCAGATTAAATTAGAATAATATCCCTTTATCCCTACGCTAGAAAAAGGATTTAAAAAGTTTTTCCTCCATTTCCCCTATTAAAAGTTTTTCCTCTATTTCCCCTATTTGGCTCTACCACACTGCCCCAAAGGGGGGCCACACCCACCATTTATACAAAATTGAGTCCCCATGGTCCAAGGATGGTTCAGACTAAATAAGGATAAAATCCCTTAATCCCTAGGCTTGTAGAAGGATTTAAAAAGTTTTACCTCTATTTCCCCTATTGGGCCTCTCCTCTGTCCCTAGGGGGGGGGGCACACCCACCGTTTAAACAAACTTGAGTCCCCTTGGCCCAAGGATGCTCCAGACCAAAGTTAGCTAAAATCCACTCAGTCGTTCAAGACAAGTAGTGTTTTAAAGGAAAAGTTGACAGACGGACAACGGACGACGGACGCTGCGCCATTGCATAAGCTCACTTGCCCTTCTGAGCTAAGAACTAATTTTGTAATAAGCACAAATGAATAATAAGCATGTATGTATTACCTATTACTATATAGACTCACCGCCATTATCCATAAACCGCTGTGGGCTGTACGAGAAGCCACTTTTCTTATTTATACCGTAACCACAATCAGCATGTTCTCCCTGGGACTGCATGTTTATTATAGTTCTTATACCCATCCTGTAATATAATATATACTATATGTAAAACAATATATCCATCATTATACGTTAATTTTATACTCATCCGGTAATATATAACAAATTTTCACCATCATCAAATACAAAATAATATCATACCCAACGTCTAATTTACAAAACATATCATTACCTATACCTCATCTTTATAACAGTGTCTGATAGGATGATACTGGTCACATGACAGGGCAATAAAACATCATGTCACCCTCATGTGCTCAAGTTTCTGCGATAATATTTCCCTAATTCAGAGCCTCACTCGATAAATCAGCAAGAACCACCACAACCTAGTTCAGAATGACGGAAGCAGACGTCAAAAATGGCGTGTCAACCTTATCATCTCTGTTTTATGGATTTTTTTTATTGATTGATTGATATTTTTGGCATAATAAAATCTTCATTGCCCTTGCAGTAGGGAATCACGATTCTTAGTTTCTCCTCAATCAAGCATGTTTCATATGGGCTTCGAAACAGGCTTAAATTCAGAGAACCAAAGGATGCGCCAGGTTTAAATTTGGTGGTGAAGGAAAGTTGGAGTTCCCGGAGAAAAACCACAGACCTACGGCCAGAACTTGGCGACTGTCCCCAACAGGCTTCGAACCTTGCGACCCACTGGTGGAGGGCTAGTGGTACGTAGCATAATGTCAGATGCCTTAACCACTTGGCCACCAGCAAAGAACCGGTTGTGTTGCCTTACAGTATAATATACAAAATAATATAACTATATAATCCTGTTATAATAATCGAACATTTATAATACTGTACCTGTGTATGTATGTACACTTACTCTTTAAACTGGCCTATGATGTCGTATTTGTCTATCAGTTCATCTGCTGGTCTGGACATGGCAACAATGTTCTCTGTAATCCTGTCAACAAGTCAACAGAGAAAATGTGTGTGTTATTAAGTGTTGTCATTCTATCAGACACAACATGTTATAGGGTACATATATGTACATGTCACAGTTGGGTTACTTTTCTGCTGGTCCAGCAGACTTATAATGTTAGTTGTTGAGGGGGAACATTTATATTTATTTTACTAGTGAAATGCTTGAATAGTTCCAAAAAGTTCAAGTACATATTGTTTTGCCTAACAACAAAACAAGAAATATAACAGATTTTGTTTACAACATTTTAAGAACCTTAATTATTATGAGGCAAATTACTGTAACAAACAGCCAGCGTACCTCAGGATACCAATTTTCTTTGCACTGTGATCGGAGTGAACCTCGGTTTACAGTGTTGAATTTATACGAATTCATTTTGATTTAAATCTGAGTTTTATTTTTTACTAGTGAAAAATATTTCTATATTTTCTTACAGTAGTGAAAAAAACCCACTCATATTGAATCAATAATTTCTAAAATTTCACTGGTAAAAATATCATAAAAATCTCTACCTTTTTTTAAAAACTAACTTTGAATCAATGCTCTCATTTCTTTTAGAAATTAGCATACCTGTCAAGCCAACTGAATTTGTACAGGTAAACCTACAAATGATCTCCATGACATCTGCAGATTGTAGTATTTTTTGAAATCTTCTGCATATGCACCGATTATTTGAACTTTTGAAAATAGTTAAAAAACAGCTTTTTAAAGTTTTAAATATAAAAATTAGCATTACATAAAATGTTTGACATATTAATATGATGAAAGGCAAATTTTGATACTTATAACTAAACTGCCTTACAACTGATTTGATGACTCTGAAATGACCTACAATTAGCTGGCTTGACCTTCATTTTGACCATCCATGACTACCATTTCATTATTGAAAACTAATGGCAGGTATGATTTAGTGTACAATGCGTAAGAACCAATGAGGTCATGACGAACACAAAATTAGATGTCAGGACTTGATAATGAGGCTCTAATGTACACAAGTTACTCCGAACACGCTCTATATATCTAAGTACACAGTCACCATTCTATATATCCCAAACAGGTGAAATACCATAGACGTTTAAACCAACCGCATCTGGTAAAGTAGTTCTTACTGTGTATAGTACCTCTAGACCATGACTCCAGACTAACACAGAACGGAAGAAAATCCTGAAGCAAGTTTAACTCATTCACCCCTGAAATTTTATAATGAACTATTCCAACTATTGAATTGGACGAGTTCAAATGTGTCTTCAGGGGTGAATGAGTTAATAGCAGAACACATTTTCAAGTATGTTTTAGTACTTCAAGCTTGAGCTTGCCTTACTATTTGAATTAATTTTCAATGTCTTCATTGACCTCGGAATAATTGTTACGGCTAAGATATACAATTTGCCTCCGTAAGAAATGCTGAGTTTAATTCAGTAATAAGTGTCTATTTTTACCAGCTTGAAAACAGTCCTTTGATGACCATTTTTTCCTTTGGCCATAAGTCTGGGCTACAGTACTTGCACTTCTTCCCTCCGCAGAAAAGGGCGCATATTTTTTCCTGCGAAATCATCCCTCGTGCCTGCTCCGTAAACTTGTTATAGCCTGCCTTGGGGTCTTTACCTTTTAAAGTAAAACAAAATGTATTATTAAAATTTCATTATTATTTTAAGCACATTTTCTTTCTTAAACAAAGGAAAATATCATGATGGTAGTGTTACATGTTCTATAGTTCAACATTTTGAGTTTGGTTTACATTAATTTTATTCCTTACTCTGGAGAATTACCATCATGAGTTACATCTGGTTATTTCCTTACATTATCTGCAAATGTCCTTTCAGTTGATGTTTGTATGAAAATATTCAAAACTGTAGCAACTCATTTTTCCAGAGCAGAAAAAAACTAAAAAGATTATTTTTTTCCAGACCAAAATCATAAAGCATAATTTAAAATACCGTTCAATAACCATCCATAAAAAAATTCATGAAGAAAGCTACAATTTTTGTATGCTGTGACAACTTAATAATTGAGTGCAAACTTATGATCAGCTATTAAGAAATTGGCTCAACCGAAGATGTGTATCTCACCTATAGAATGCTGTGCATGTTCTTCTGTCCATACTAGCCCTTCCTCCCCAGGGTGAGAATGTTCATCTGGGTCAGGCTCCATGTTCCGTAGCTTTAGTTCTGTGGATAAAAATTAAAAAATAATTCAAATTCCCACACTGACATAATCAAACATGGCAATAGAATTAAGGCAATTCTACAAATTCAATTCAAACAGAAAAAAAGGTGGAACAATATTGCTATAAATATAGGCTTTATTTAATCTTGATAACATATTGAGCATGAAGCTCATCTTACATATGGTCAAGATACAATGTATGATAAAATGTACAATGTTTACAGCTACAGGATTTTTTAACAGTAATTTCATAAATGACAAAAAGTACTTTTATCAGTTTGGTTTGTTTGTGTTTTACGTCCTATTAACAGCTATGGTCATTTAAGGACGTGCCAGGTTTTGGTGGTGGAGGAAAGCCGGAGTTCCCGGAGAAAAACCACCCACCTATGGCCAGTACCTGGCGACTACCCCACTCAGGCCTCGAACCCGCGACCCAGTGGTGGAGGGCTTGTGGTAGCAGAATGTCAGATGCCTTTGTTATCAAAGACATGGAACAGGTTTAATTATATACAGCAAATAAATAGAGGTAGTACATTTTTTGAATATACTGGTAAAATGTATAATAAATGCACTATCTTGCAAAGTACTTCATATGGTATATTCTTATTGTAATATATTACTATAAGTAACTGCAGTGACATATGAATACCCAAAAATCAACCATACACATTGTTGGTCTCTAAAACTGAAGCTAGGACAAGACTTCCAGCTGATTTCCAAGGTGTTTTAGAGCACTGTATATATACAGGACACAATTTATGGATGACAGTGTTATAATTATAAATATAGGACCATAATTATATATGTACTACCACTTCTAAATTGTTGTGTCCCGGTGTTGTGAAAGACATTTTCAAGTCATTAAAGTACTTTACTTACAGTTGCACACTTAAGTTATACAATCAGACAGCAACGTTAAGGAATATGTCATAGCGTGTACGGGGGAGTCCCATTAAAAATACATCACCATTCAGCCAGCAGTGTTGTTTGGTACTTATGTCAATGTTAACTCTATTTGTCAATCCAGTAAGTCAAAGGACATGAATGAATCAGATATGAATATCAAATTTATTCTATCCTTGTGTACAGAATAGTATGATATTCATAATATATTTGTTGATTATCTTTAAAAATCAAGAAATTAAATCTGGATAAGATTAATCCAAGAAAAAGTAGAAAAATGCTAGTAAAACAAAAACATGTAAATGGTGGCAAGTTTTCACATAACCTAGCTACCCCTAAAATTTAAATGATCAAAAACACAATCTTTTGAACCTGATCTCCAGACAGGCAAGCTTAAATGTATGTCCAGGAATTAAATCCACGACAGATCATGATCATGAGAGGGATAACCTGATTAGAAGCGACTACATTATAGTGTCTGTATATTTAATGAGTAAATTTAAGGTTACAATGTACAATGCACAATGTAGTTGGACTATAGAAAAGGCACTGATAAATATCTATACGTGTGTATAACATTTAACATTATTGTTTTTATATGGGGTCTATTTGATTATCAATACTTCTATTTTGGTGTGTATTACATATTTCTTAGAAATAAACCCCCTGGTGAGCTTATTTTTCAACAAGTCATTCATACAATACTGACAGTGACAATTAAGCACTACACATCAAGGCCTCCTGGTCCACCATATTTTCAAGTAAAATAAACTTGAAACAATTGGTAAAGTGTCTATCTAGAGTTCAATTAATGTGCCCGGTTCGAGTCTCTGGGTTGTAAATAGTGATGTCTTCTGGGGCAAAGGCTTAGAAAAAAGAGGGAGGAATTTAGCACAACTGGGCTGGGTTGATTGCTAGCAACCAGGTACCTCAGGTAACTCAATTTGCAGCTAGAGTGACCGTCTAAAGTATGGAGGGTCCTTGGTTCGAGTCCCAGTCTGGTTGTGCAGAAATTCCCTTTCTCTTGTTACAAAATTGGCAACCTTGCCAACCCTTGTTTCAAGCATTGGATGTATAGTCTAAGCAAATGGATACCCAAATATGGGTTGTAAATAGTGTTGTCTTCAGGGGCAATTAAAGGCTTAGAAAAAAGAGGGAGGAATTTAGCACAACTGGACTGGGTTGATCGTGACGGCAACCAGGTAATTAGCTCAATTGGTAGAGTGTTCATTTAGAGTTCAGAGGGTCTGGGTTTGATTCGTGGTTTGATCGTGTATTTCTCTTTCTCCTGTTATATATAATTACACAACCATTATCAACCCTCAACCCACCTACCCACTCTGTCCAATCACAAGTGACATCCTGCACCAAAATAAAGCAACAATTGGTATCACAGCCTCCTCAGTTGATCAATCAAAGGCAATATAAATTGTACGCTGTCCTGGGATAACAATTATCAATATAACCTTCCATCTCAAGTTAAACACTGTATGTGGTGACGCCTCCTGGTGTAACATTGACGTATATACTGACAGTGACAAATGTTACTGATTAGGGCCTCCTGGTGTAACATTGACGTATATACTGGCGGTGACAAATGTTACTTATTAGGGCCTCCTGGTATAACATTGACGTATATACTGACAGAGACAATTGTTACTTATTAGGGCTTCCTGGTGTAACATTGACACAGATTAATACTGACGGCGCCAAATGTTACTAAGAGTTCCTGGCCCAATCACAATTAAAACACTGTACTGTACAGTGACAAATGCTACTTATTAGGGCCTCCTGGTGTAACATTGACGTATATACTGACAGTGACAATTGTTACTTATTAGGGCCTTCTGGTGTAACATTGACGTATATACTGACAGTGACAATTGTTACTTATTAGGGCCTTCTGGTGTAACATTGACGTATATACCGACAGTGACAATTGTTACTTATTAGGGCCTTCTGGGGTAACATTGACGTATATACTGACAGTGACAATTGTTACTTATTAGGGCCTCCTGGTGTAACATTGACACAGATTAATACTGACAGTGCCAAATGTTACTAAGAGTTCCTGGCCCAATCACAATTAAAACACTGTACTGACAGTGACAAATGCTACTTATTAGGGCCTCCTGGTGTAACATTGAGATATATACTGACAGTGACAATTGTTACTTATTAGGGCCTCCTGGTGTAACATTGACACAAATTAATACAGACAGCGCCAAATGTTACTAAGAGTTCCTGGCCCATTCACAATTAAAACGTGACATTTTTGTTTACTCAATACTAATAATTAAGGCCTCCTGGTTCAATTACAGGCCACATACTGTCCCGGGAATAACAATTATTAATGTAACCTAACGTCCATCACAAGTCAAAAAAAACTATACAGTGTGTAGTGACAATTGTTACTTACTAAGACCTCCTGGTTGAATATTGACACCAATTAATACCAACAGGGTTAAAATGTTACTTAGAGTTCCTGGTCCATCACTGACAGTGACAAATGTTACTTAGAGATCCTGGCCCATCACTGACAGTGACAAATGTTACTTAGAGTTCCTGGCCCATCACTGACAGTGACAAATGTTACTTAGAGTTCCTGGCCCATCACTGACAGTGACAAATGTTACTTAGAGTTCCTGGCCCATCACTGACAGTGACAAATGTTACTTAGAGTTCCTGGCCCATCACTGACAGTGACAAATGTTACTTAGAGTTCCTGGCCCATCACTGACAGTGACAAATGTTACTTAGAGTTCCTGGCCCATCACTGACAGTGACAAATGTTACTTAGAGTTCCTGGCCCATCACTGACAGTGACAAATGTTACTTAGAGTTCCTGGCCCATCACTGACAGTGACAAACTAATGATGTTACCAAATGCTCCTTGCATGTCAAACATAATCGAAACAATACTGTTCTGAAGAAATAATTGTTAAAAAGGCCACTCGCAGTCCATTACAAGTAAATTACTTTTACTGCTGGTGACAGTATTACCTGGGTATGTGTCCGAGGACCCCTGGTTCAATCATCAAAAGTAGACTACTTCAGCACAGACAATGAAAATTGGTACTATATATCAAATTGAATGCCTCCTTGGATCATCACAAGCAAAACACTGGTTTCCCATGCATATTAATGAAGACCATTTGACACCTGATGACATACATGCCATAACTTTCCAGTGCAAAATAGTGAGATCAGTGATTATTTTTAGTGAGATTTGGTCAAAAATAGTGAGATTTTTTCTCTGAATTCGTGAGAAATTCGTGAGACATTTAAAACATAAATTATATAGCATATAACATAGTATTGAATCATTTGTGTTATTCTGAAGCCTCTAATTACTTTGTTAGAGCCAAAATTGAAGATTTATTGATATTTTAAAGGATTTTAGGAAGGTTTACACGTGACACACGGTCCAGATAAAGCTATCAACATTTAAAAGTAAATAAATCACATAAAAGGCAAAAAATAAGAGTATAATTAAAAAAAGAAGAACTTCTAGAGGGATGTCCAAGTTAATCCAGGTTAGAAAAAAATATATCTCAAAACATTGGGAATATTTAATATTAATTTGTTGGGAAAAAAATAACCAATAACTACTATTTTTTATATCCAATTCTGAAGAAACTTGTTTTCTTCTGTTTATGTTATTTTCATTAACACTCAATCCCATCCCGACGGCAAGAAAATGAATTCCTGATTCAATGTCAGTGGCCGGTTTCGATTTTATAGTCATGACTTACATTTACAGATGAGGATGCCGTCCAATTAACAACGTCGGAGCAATAGACACACATACAGTGACAGTAGATACGAAATACAAGGGGCTATAATACCAACACAACGTCAAGGTCAACTCATAAAACTGTGTAAAAATACTGAAAAGTTAACATTACACTTACTTGGCATGCTGATCAATTTCTTTACTTGATATAACTCTGAAAATTACATTGGTACCAGTACATGTGATAGGATCAAGTCGCAGAATCTACCTGCAGCAAACTAAGATCTTCAGCGATGCAGTATATATATACATGGCTAATTTTACACTAGACCACCTTGAAGAGCTGGAGAAAATCTGCGGTTC